CTAGCTATTCTAAAGAAAATTCTTTAGAATTTTCCACCCACATTCTAAAGAAAACCATAAAGCATATTCCCACAGGATTTCTAAGAATTAGCAGAACTGGCTCTTCCATCTAAACTTTCACTCCACCACACCCAAGCAGTCTATATTTGCAAAAGATTGAGAGTCAAGAAGAATCCACTGAAGCAGGTAATCATTGTTATATGACAGAGTTGTGGCCTTTACCCTCCATTGTAGAAAGAGTGCTTCAAACCCTCACCCAAGTGAACTGTGTGAAGGAGGTTCTAAGGGAATCAGTCATAGAGATTGAGGAGTGCCTATAAAGGCATGTTATTCTGTAAGTGGATATCTATTACACAGTAGACTTGATTACCTAGCCTACAGGCTTATGTTCTTGAAGGGAGAAACATGAATGGCACAAGGCAAGCAAAGAGAAGCAGCATTTGTAGTGAAAGGCTCCTTTTATTTGGCTTAACAAGGATGTTTTAGTCTGCTGTAGTCAAATGAACATTTGGAAGGTAGCCAGACATGAGCCATCTTGCTGGAATACTTCCTAAAATAATTTTAGGCAAGGGGAATGGACCTTAGCAGTAAGTAGCTGTGAGGCGTTTCATGGAAACAAAAGCTGAGTGTACACTAGAAGAGGTCATTTTGAAAATAAATGGGCAGTAGATGGGGCTCCTGCAGGCTCCCTGAGACACCCCATGAGAACGGCAGTGTTTAGGCACCTGCCACATCCAAAAGAGGATTCTAGTGGCACAGGTTACATGGAAGAAATCTTAACTCCTCTTTGTTCAATATGCTTCCCCTACCTAAACCTGGAGAAGCTGCAGTGAAAGAGCTGACGTATCCAACTCTGCAGTCCAAGTCCTAAGTCTAAGATCTGGCTTTAAGGTAGAAAGGAAAATAAATACTAAGCCAGGTTTGAGATTAAAAGTTTCAATTGGATTAAGTTGGACTAGACTGAATTGCAGTACTCATGCTTAAAATCATCCAAAAGAAATGGATCTGAGGTATGATAAAAGATAGAAAAATAATATTCATAGAACCTAACTGATGGCAGTGGCTAAAGACAAACAAAGCTGGTTTTGTACCCCCTTAGAGTTAAGGCTGTTCAATAAACAGTGTTTTATGAGGACACGACTCCAAGCTGGATAAGAAAGGAAGTGAAGACAAGGAGGGACTGATGGATGGAAGAACATAGAAGATTCACTACATTGGTGTCATGATGAAGTTGAGGAACAGCTGCAGTGGGGTACTTGAGCAGATGAGCTGGAAGCCCCAGAAGAGCTCAGCGTCTAAATTAGTGATTTCAAAGTTGTGCCAGTTTGTAATGAATTCAAGTCCAAGTTAAGATCTTAGAGTTACTGAGTAGCTGAGGCTGAGCTATTAAAAAAAAAAAAAGAAAAAAAAAAAAGATTAGTTGTTGAAACAAGAAGGTCAAATATTGAGGACGCTGAATTTGTCATCCAATATGGATGCTGAAGTGTCCCCAGAAGACGGCAGATATGAGGATGGAGAAAAGCACTGAGAGCCACGTACTAAAGCCGCTACTGGAGGCTTTACTCTGGAGGACAATGTACCCCATGAAAATCAGCTACTACGTTGCAAAGTAAATAGGTTACAATGATGTGAAGTTAGCGGTGAGCCTCCAATGATAAAGGCTTTTTGTAGGAGGAGGAAGACTTATTGGTCTGGAAACAGCACTGAGAAGTGAGGAGGACATGTCCCCACCTACCAACTTTGGGAGGCATCAAAAGTCTCTACAGTATTTTCAGAGTCAATCCAAGAAGTGCTGGGATTGTTCACTGTAGAGGCTGAGGATTTGGAGATGTTTGATAATAATGGAATAGGAATTCTAGGTGGTCCAGTGGGAAAGTTGGTGAGAGAGGAGGAATAGGAAATTGGCAGAGTCAAGATCTGCAGGGAAATCTGTATGCCACCTGAAGAATGTTGAGCAGGAGACATTGTTGAGTCAGGCTTGCATTTTAGATAAATCACCCTGACAGCTGTGTAGAAGACATTTTTTAAGGGGATTCAAGGCTATGGGAAGGGAGACCATTCAAGAAACTATGAATTATAGTCATGACAAGAAATCTCAAGGGTTTGAAACTGAGTAGTAATGAGATGATTAAGATATGTAGGAGCTCAATCAGCTAGACTTAATTGGATGTGAGAAGTGAAAGAAGGAAGTTTCCAAGGGCTCTCAAATTTCTAGCCTGAGTAACTTGGTGGTTGGTGGGGACAATGGAGGAAAACTATATTTATGGAGACAAATGTTCAGATCTGGACATCGCATGAAAGACTAAAGCCTTGAGTTTACCTCCACTTGTCATTTCCCCTCTTACATAGCAACAGAGTGGCTGATTTTCAGGGAGCACATGGCCATCCAGAATAAAGATAACATTTCCCATTTCCTTTATGGCTAAATGTAGCCAAATGATTAAGTTAAGGCGAATGGTATGTAATATAAATTGTGTTTGCAACTTCCAGGAAGTGTCTTTAAAAGATAAAGCATTTTCTTCACCTCTTTCTCCTTCCTGCCAGGGAATATGGATATAACAGCTACAGCTCTATTAACCACCTTGGACCATAAGCCTAACTTGGCCATGGAAATCACAGAAAGCAGAGCAGCAAGATAGAAAGAGCCTGGTTCCTTGATTTCACAAACATGAGAAATACAGACATTTCTACTTCTTTAAGCCACTATAATTTTGTAGCTTTCTGTTACTCACAGCTGAACTTAATCCTAATAAATACCAGATGTGTTAAGTTTGAGGTGTCTGTGGAACTCAGTGAGGGGTAGGCAGTACAGCTGAATATACTGATATAGAACTAGGCAAGAGATCAGGGTTAGAGACAGGAAACACAGGTTATTCTCTAAAAGCTAGTCCATATGATTTTTTTTCCCAATAGCCTTCGGCAGCCTGATCTAAGAGTGGAAAAGCTAATAAATGTTTACATAAATAGATATTCAGATCTAAATCCATTTTCTCACTACATGTGTAAGATAACTTAAGGATCAATATTACTTTGTATTTAAAATATTGCCTTGGAAAATAAAAGTCACTGCAGCAATTTTGTATACAACTAGCTAGTGTTGATGGGGCAGACCACATGAGGACAGTATAATCACAAACGCCTTTTTGTTAGGGAGAAATGATGATTAAAACCAAATGAGGAAGAATTGTACGTGCCAAATGCAGTGCAATAGATATAATGAATAACAAATATTTAGGGACAATTATATTGACCTTTTTTGCACAAAAAATAAAATGTAAGCCTGAGCAACTGCCCAGGCAGCAAAATTCTGTATAGACTCAAAAATGGGTGCTCATGTACTTAAGAAAATATATGTGCAAATTTCTGTTACACTTGCTAAGTCATTGTACAATAGTCTATAAAACACTCAGAAATTAGGATCCATATAAATGCTATTTGTAAATTTTGAAATCATTCCCACTGTAGACTTCATTAGAAGCTACAACTTCACATTTATTTCAGGTTGAAATAAATTTCTGAAAAATAAAAGCCCTAGTTCCAAATATACATTACACACAAGGAATTTCTTAATAATGCTTCCAAATGGAAAAAGCTAGAAAAAGTGTTTCAAGTTGTTCTGTATTCTTCTCAAAAAAAGTTTGGATAAATAAACCAGCACCTATGTGTTAGATTTCTTGTAGTTTTTCCGTGAGTTTTTAAAGACAGACTATCTGTCCTCTTCTCCCCATTGTTTAATCTGTATGTGCTCAATCAAGGATTATAAAAATAATTTTAACACAGAATCCAGCAAACACAATTAAGAAGTAAACATACTATGAAAATAAACATCACAACAAGCATCTCACCTAGTTATTAATTTTGTGCTTAGTCCCTGGTTTGGATTGCCTCAGCCCGGAGTTCTCAGAACAGAATAGAAAGTGGTTAATCAGTGCATTGCCAATATGAAGAATCAAACCCACATCTAGCCAATGAGAGAAAGTACAATTTCTTTATGCCTTGAATCCACGTGGCCCTGGGACTCCATGGGGTCAGCGGCTGAGGACCCACCCATCGTCAGGCTCTTGATACACATGTTCTTCATCAAGGAGCATCAGAATCCCCAGTGAATCAGAAACTAATCAAAATAAATTGATAGAACTTGGAAGTTTGAAAACTCCTGCCCAGAGAGTAAGATGGGAGTGGGGGAGGCCATCTAGTGATAAACTAGATTAAGAATCACAAGGCCCAGAGTCTTAATCTTATTCTGATATTAATTAGCAGTCTGTTTCTTCCCAGCAAAGCAGAAGAACTGGGTTGAACTAGGATAGTCTTGGTAGTACCTTTTAGCTTTAAAAGTGCACGTGTTGGGAATTACAAGTGAATGCTATTGAGTTTAGCAACCTGCTTGATGCCTCCTAAATGTAATGCATTCATGTATCATCTGTTCGTTTTCATCCTCATCTCCAGGAGGTATTTAATTCAGATGTTTTGCTCTGTGGAAAACTTCCTATCACTACTCCTCTCTCTTCAATTGATATTGGTTCTTTCAAACCGACATTTACATTGTTTTTCTTGATATTTAGAATGGTTTTATTGCATTTGTAAGCGGAAAAGGAAGGCATCGCTAAATGTAAAATTTTCCGTTAAGGAATTTTCCTTCTAGCAATTAAACACGCTTTTGGGTTAAGTATGGTATAGAAAAGTGATTAAATGCATATGAAATCATGTGGGTTATTAGAGATTATTTGGTTGTTTGGCGTCTCCTAGGATACGTAGTTGTTTTTCCACCAACCCACACATCCTCTATATTCCTAATAAAGCCTTTGGAATCTGTTGGGCTTTTTAAGGCTCTCACCACTCTCTTTCTATGACTTCACCGTATCATTAAAAATCTAAAGTTATTTAGCATAATTTAATAGTATTAGGAAGATTTGTAACCGTATCCAAGGATATGAACTTGTTTGTTGTAACAACCACTTGAGGCAGTCCAAAAGGCCCTTCAAAGAAAGAAACATGCCATGTCAAATTTTCAGTAGTTTTATTGAAAAATGCCTCTTTTGTTTCAGAAATAAATAATATAAGGCAGTGAAATTCACAATCTGCAGTTAAAATATAAAAGCAGCAATTCTATGTTCATAGTCTTGCAAACGTTTTCCAACTGCTTTTGATAACTAAGAAATATTATATTCTGAAAAAAGTTCATACTAAATATACAACACAAACATGCAATTCCATCTCTGCAGAATAATCTGCAATTGGGCATAAATGTTAGTGTGTCTAAAACAAGGAGGTTTAAGGCAATATGGAACTGTATCCCGTTGATGCACTAACTTCATCTACATGGCTTAAGGTTGGTGGTTGTTAAAGAGATGTATACGAGCATTCTATGCCCCGGTGTAAAACAGAGATAGAAGAGGAAGATAAATAATTGCAATGGAGTTGACGTTTCCCTCCTTTTTGGTTTTAGGAGGGGAATTATTTGAATAGTGGTGTAATTGAATTGCAGAGAAGTATAGCAAAAGATAAACTGCCCGCTCGAAATACTCAGTAGCTCTGGGTTCCAGAACTTACTGCTTTACCTAAGAGTTTCACTGAGGCTGCCCGCTGTGCTAACTAAAGGCACACGGCATGTTCTGTCTTTGCAGCTTTTGTGAACAAAGTATTTTGCAAGCATTTCAAGGGCAAAGGCAAAAATGTCTACAGACTGCGTGCTTGGAGCTAGGCTTCCTGCAGAAACAAGGTTCTCTACAATCAGAAAGGGTACTCCAGGATGAGCAACGCTGGAAGAAACACCGCAGAAAAGACGTACACTGCTCTATCTGACCTGTAAATGAGAATTTCAACACCTCCCCCCAGCCTCGCGGCGCGGCGCGTGGTCTCTGGTTCACTGCCCGGGTCCGTGGGACAGGGCGCGCCGCCAGCGCCCGCGGGGCTCAGGAGTCTCTTCTGCAGGCTCGTCTGCGCCGTAGTCCTCATATTCCGCCGTCCGCTCGGGCTCCACCGGCACGATGAAGGGCTCGCGCTCAGGCAGGTAGGCCCCGCCCTCGGGCACATAAGGCTCTGTCCGATTCAACATTACAGTTATGGCATGATTTGGAAGGCACATACACACAGCAAAAGCTAAATCATCACCCGCGGTGATGGCACTCCAGTCTTAATCTCATAACTATAAATAAGTTACAATGTCCCAATTACTTCCAGAGAATTTGGTGATAATCAAATAATGAAATGGCACTGTCTTAAAAAAAAAAAAAAATCTTCAAAAATCCAGCAGTAAATACAATCATTGCACAAATACCTGGGAAGGGTCAGAGACTGGACCAAAAAACTGTAAACGCAGTACCTAAGTAGGATTTTCACAAATCCCCAAGTAACTGTTCATGCCTTCAAACTCCTCAATTCAAAGAACAACTTGGAAAGATGAGGAGGTGAGGGAAAGTTTTATTGGCTCCTAGAAACTGAACTCGGGGGGTGAAAAGCAACTATCACCAGGTAATATACAGTACATGACATCTTCTGTGGCTGTACCTCACAGTAACTGAGTTACAGCTGGTGGGTGAGGAACACCAGTGACTACAGCAAAACAGGAAGAAAAGGTGATTTTAAACTTTGGTTTGAAAACTTCAGTTACAAAACCCAAATGAGAGGACACGGACAAAAAAGTAACAGAGACAGATGCCCTGAATCAGACACATCGCTAACAAGCAAGAGATGAGGAGATTCCATTTGGTGTTATTCCGGCATAGAGCAAGCGGCAGGCTTTGATGCAGAAGCTTATTGTAGAATTGTTAAGTGATTTTAGTCGACAGGATCACATACAAATCATTTACAAGCCACAATTAGTTTATTATTTACATAAGACATTTCTCTTTAACCAGGTTAATTGTTTTTCTTAAAATGGCATAGTCTCCTCTGGTTAGTAGTTTTATTATGCACCTCTTTCACAACTGAGGCTCCTCATGGCTGTGTGTTGGAACTTTTTTAAAATAATGTTTTTCTACATTATTACTGAAATGCATCAGGCTTATAAACTGACACCACTGCTTTTGTCTCATTCAAGTTAGTAAAAAGAGTCTCCACCCTCCTTTGTGATGTCGACCCGGTTCGTTAACCATTATCTGTGGTGAGATTTCCATACAGACTCATTTCCTAATAAGCACGTGCGCAAACATCTCAGAAACAGGATTTTCATGTATTCAAACTGTAAGCAGCACTGGCGACTTAGAAAATGTGTTAGCCGGAACCTGAAACAGGTCAAAGATGATAGTTTTTAAAAGTTGAATGACTAAGTAAAAAATATAAATACACATCCATCTACGTATGTAATGGTTAAAGTATATATATATATATCCATATATTTTTAGTTATTCTCACATCCCATAAGGAGGTGGTAATTTAAATTTATTTTATAAAGAATTAAATTGCAATTCTGTGAATGGGTTGCATGAAATATACATTAAGATTTGTTATTACTTTTGGTCATATGTAATTATGCATTTAAATATATAGATATATAGATATTTAGATATTTAGATATTCAACTACTCATGCACTATTTGAAAGTAGCAAATCATATCAAACAGCAGTATCATTTTTAAAATTTGCAAGATGCTTGAGGGTGCACTAATGAAATGGTAGCCATCGACCACAGCATGACTATCTTATTTCCAGATTGGCGTATCTCCCCAGTCCTCACATCCCACAAAATCAGGTATAGGAGACTTCTGCCCTCTACAATTGTCAAACACTAGAATTTCATTAACAATCTTTTAAAACAATTATTAAGTCCCATATTTTATAAGTATTAATTCTATGGCTAGTATGGGACAGTTAACTATGTTCAGTCGTCTACACCATATTATCACATAGTTTGCCTATAAATTAGATTTCCAAAACAATTTTTAAATACATATTCTTGGCATTTTACAGTTGTGTTTAACAAATCCCTGTTCCCAATCTTTGGGAAAAGAAAAAAAAAAAAATGTCAATTGAAGTCCCAAGAGAAATAAGGGGAGGTTTGTGATGTGATTTGGTAAATGCAGAAACATGGGGAAAAAAAGAAAATAATTCAATCCTAACAGTGAAATAATGTTGTATGCTATGGTAGCGAACACTCTTACTATATACAGTCAGAACTGAATGAGTTGTTATCTTCAAGACATCTTCAAATCAACCTTCCTTCAAGCCTAAGGAACTTCATTTCCATAAAGTTCTTTACTTCAGGTGAATTGGAGTTCCTACAATGGCAACAACATACCTGGATAGCCTTGCCCATTGTATGGGATGCTGGCGCACTGAGATGAATCACAGTATCCAGGAGGACCCGGGGGTCCTCGGATACCTGAGTTTCCAGGACGGCCAGGGGGGCCAGGGGGACCTCTTGAACCTGTGGACCCTGGTGGACCTGTTCTGGATTCTCCTTGTGGACCTAGTGTGGAGTTAAAACAAATGTATTTCCCCTCTTGTCAAATACAACTCCTGAGGCAGCAACCAGTACTTTAAGTGGCACCTCTACTACCTCAAGATTAGACAATTTACTATTGTATGGTAAGAAAATGTTTCCTTAAGAAATACCCAATATGAACCAAGGTGTGATGGAACTTTCTTACCAATGACTCATCAGAGTTAATGCCAAAAATCTACTACTTTAAGTATTTTATCACAGAAAATCTGTTTTAATAAGAATTCAGCCAAACCAGAGATAACAGTGAGTTCTTTAGTTTGCTCCCACCCTCACAGAGAAAAGAGCACCTGAAGGAAACAGCTGTTAGGCAGCCACATTGAGCTGCCATCAAAAGAGGGCAGTGTCTGCTCCACACCTCCAGACTATGTGAAGCAATGTTGTTTCTGGATCAATACAGTTAACATAAATGGAATGATTTAGCCACAGGGCTGTCCTTGGTTGCAAGGGTATCATGTGCCTTATAATGAAAAAAGAAATCATTTACAACCTAGTAAACAAAATGCATCAGACAACCAGTATTCCTTCCCAAAATATAAAAATGCTTTGGGAGAACAGTGAATGAAATTTACCAATATCTCAGGCCTTTTAGTGAGGCTATGTTTTCTCAGTCTAATAGCCCCATATTGAAGACTACTGGAAAAAACAGGAAATATAACCATCTTTAAAGGCTATGAGGTCAAACAAAATAGGAAAAGAAAAAAGGAAGGAAGGAAGGAAGGAAGGAAGGAAGGAAGGAAGGAAGGAAGGGAGGGGGAGAGAGGGAGGGAGGGAGGAAGGAAAGGGAAGGGAGGAAGGAAGGAGGAAGGAGAGAGAGGCAATAGCAACCCTTTGTGCTCACAAAATGCATTTCATCATATATTAATGTTATAGTTAATGCCTAATATAACCTTTTCATTTCTTTAACAAAGGGAACATGAAAATGAAGTTATGGAGGTTGAACTTCTTGCTAAAACATATGCCATGGTAATAAGAATGCTTGAAGCTCTAGTAACAGGATGAAGTTGGCCAGGAGTGGTGGCTCATGCCTGTAATCCCAGCACTTTGGGAGGCCGAGGCAGGCAGATCACGAGGTCGGGAGATCAAGACCATCCTGGCTAACACTCTACCAAAAATACAAAAAATTTAGCGGGCTTGGTGGTGGGCACCTCTAGTATCAGCTACTCGGGAGGCTGAGGCAGGAGAATAGTGTGAACCCAGGAGGCAGAGCTTGCAGTAAGCCGAGATCAAGTCACTGCACTCCAGCCTGGGCAACAGAGCAAGACTCCATTTCAAAAAAAAAAAAGAACAACAGGATGAAGTTGTGAATCTCTTCGGAACGGTGTGCCCTCTCAGTGTTGATACTCTTTGCCTGTTTAACGTACTAGCAAACCTACCTGGGGGTCCAGGCAGCCCCCGAGGTCCTGGAGATCCAGTACCCCTTTCACCTTTCTCTCCTGGCAAACCTAAGGAAGGAGAGAAAGAGAAAGCACAGGGGAGAAATTATCTGGAAACATGTAATTTTCATCTTAACTGATAATATTTGATTCAAGTAATTCATTTCCTTAGTGAAAGCAGAACCTAATTTTTCACAGAAGTTCACTCTTTAAGCCAAGTTCTTTCTAGACATTTGTGTAATTCTAGACTCATGGCTGAGAAAAAATTTGGCTACAAAGCAGGGGAAAAATTATTTGAAGTAAACAAACATGTCTAATGTATTTTTAAATAGTAACTAGGAACAATCATCCTGAAGAAATAGTTATAATATCTCATTGAAAAACATATTAAAGGTATTTTGTCTTTAGTAGCCCTATTAGCACAGCAGCCAAACCAGCAGAATTATAGAAACATGTAGGTTTTCTCTAGAATATTAAGTACTCCTTTGACAAAAGTGGGTACCCAGAGTCCTGAAATATCTGGAATCAAATAGTCCTATTTTTCTGCTTTTCCTTCAACTGCACTTATCTACACCATGAAATTAGAGTCAAACAAACATACAAGACCAATGCCAGACCCTGAATAAAGGAACCAAAATAAGTTAGATCTAAAACTCTAGGGCTGCCTAAGAACATTCAGTTGCTGCTCGACTCTTGCCATGGTCACAGAGAGTAATAAGATTTGGGTAGCTGATTTAGTTTGCCAAGATAGAGGTTTTCCCATTAACAACAACAAAAGTCAGAAAATAGCATTATCTGAGATCTGATAGCATTAACTGAGATCTGATAAAGACATGCCATTTTTCTAAGACATGGATCCCTATGGCCTGTGAGTTGCCTGACACCTCTTCGGAGGCTGTCCAAACAAGACTAGTGAAAGTAGTTTGCCTAGGTCACCTTCCAGACACCTTCAACCTGTCCCAGCTCCTACGTTTGCAAATTCCTTCCTTTATCGCAATACAGAAGCCAGAAATGCCTACCTCGTTCCCCAGGGGGTCCCTGCATCCCTGGTGTGCCCGGGAAGCCTGGCCGCCCCCCAGGTCCAGGTTCTCCTCTGGCTCCTGCGCTGCCAGGAGGTCCCGGTGGACCCGGCGGGCCTGGCTGGTTGCGACTGGAGTGGTAATCATTTGGAATCTGATTCAGCATCTGATTGAATCTGTTCATCTGACCTACAAGTAGAAATAAGGCTTGTTAGTAAGAAATGCAATAAAGGAGGGATGAGAGAGTGAAACTGTTTTAGTGTCTAGTGAAATCCATCTCCATTCTGCACCCCTTCCAGGAAACAATCTAATTAGAATCCTAAAAATAAAATTAAGACAGTCTAATCATCCAGGACAAAATAGTCCCTGATAAATAATTGTTTCCACAAAATGCTGACCTATAAGCCACAAACACTACTACAAATATAAAAAGTTGTTAAAGTTTAATATGGCTCTGAAATAAAGTCTTGAGGTTTGCCAGGTGACATCACTCAAAAGAAAACCTTTTTTATAACTAGATAATTCTACAATTGTCTGTATATCTAAGGCAATGATAATCAGGTTTCAGTGCAAACTGGAATTGCCTGTGGGGCAACTTGAAAAATCTGGATTTCTGGGCCTTATCTCCAAAGACAATGATTCACTTAGCTTAGGACATGGTGCAGGAACTCTCACTTCTAACAAGCAACATAGGTGATTCCAAGGCAGGTGTTCCTCAGTACCACACAATAAAAAACATTGATTAAGCCTTCTCAAAGAGCGAGTTCTGGATTTAAGGCCCACACCAGTCTGCAGGTACTGAGCTTCATTACTTAACAGGCCTTATAGAATAAGAAGAGCCTGTGAAAAACAGAGAGGCCAGAGTTTCCTACCAAAAACAACTTTCACTGATCAAATTAATCTTCGTGAGCCCCTTCCTTAAGGTCATAAAACGACTTAAAGGTCATAACTTAAAATATCCAATGTCTTAGAACTTAAGTTTGCAGCTATTATTGTACCTTGGGTTATTATTTTATCTTAGTGACAATCTTTAAAATATCACCTTTAAGCAGATGCAAAACTGACAATGTATAAAAACAAGAGCTTATCAAAATGAAAGAGAAATCTATCTCTTTAGAAACTTTATGACCCAAACTCTGCATTTTCTGCAATTAATTTTCAAACAATTCACACAGTAAAAAGAAAAGAAACATTACCACTTATCAATTGTTCACAGACTTGTCTTGCAACTGCTCGCATCATGTTCTGGGAAGCAATGTCTCCCTTGTTAAATTAATGAGAATGATTAGCATATTAGTTCTATAATTTTAAACTTCAATGTTTAACACACAAACATAAGATTTTTTTAAAAAATACATACCCTATCACCTTTTTCTCCTTTCAACCCAGATGGACCCTGAAAAATATGAATTGCATACATTAGAAACTGACAAACATACTCTAAAATGATGCATGAATGCACATAATGATGAAAGAGAACAAGTTCTGTTTTCTAAAGCATTAGCAAAATGACACATCACATTTATATCCATGTTACTCACATTCTGCTTTTCTATAAAAAGGAATCTAATCTCTCTCTCTCTCTCTCTCTCTCTCTCTCTCTCTCTGTCTCTGAAGCACCTCCAAAACAGTGGACAGATGTGAATTTTGTGGTCACAATTGTAAAAGTTATGGACCATGCACACTTTTTACAATGCAATTCACGATACATATGGAACTAAAATACATATGAAGATTGCCCTTCTGTTGCCATACTTTGCTTTGTATCATCATGGTTGGTTATCTCAGCTGGTTATTGTGGAACGTCCATGAGATTAGTCTCCATTCAGTCTCACTAAGAACCAGCAGGCTTTTGTGAGCTACTTAGCTCAATATATATCCCTTAACTTCATTGAGTGATTCTTTGTACATTTGAGATGAAAGAAACTAGATTGAAGCTGGAAACCATCATTCTCAGCAAACTATCACAAGAACAGAAAACCAAACACTGCATGTTCTCACTCATAAGTGGGAGCTGAACAATGAGAACACATGGACACAGGGAGGGGAACATCACACACCAGGGCCTGTCAGGGAATCAGGGGTTACGGGAGGGATAACATTAGGAGACATACCTATTGTAGGTGATGGGTTGATGGCTGCAGCAAACCACCATGGCACATGTATACCTATGTAACAAACCTGCACATTCTGCACATGTACCCCAGAACTTAAAGTATCATAACAAAAAAATTCTACAATAAAAAAGAAAAGAAACTGGGTTTCTCTCTTAATGAATAACTCAATCTAAATGATCCTACATCTAAATACAAGCATAGAATATTTGGCCCTACACTGTCATAAGCCTCTCACCATAAGAGATATTGGAAAAGTTTTCCTTAGAATACAGCAAGTTTTTGTCTTTCGGTAATATATTTCCAGGCTGCCAACTGCTATCACCGAAGGAACATCTAAATCATTGACAAATCAGGTAATACCCCATACCAAACCACTTCTCACCATCTCCATGGAAACCACCGCAGTCCAAACCAAGACTCTTGCCTGAAACTACTCCAATAACCTCCTAACTGCTCTCCCTGCTCCCCATTTTGCTACTTTATAGTCTATTCTCCACACAAAAACCAGAATATTTTTTAAAGAAAAATTAGATCATATCACTCCTTTGACTCTAAGAGCCTTCCATCCCATTCCCATCACACTTAGAGGAAAATAATAATTCCTTATCATGGGCTACATGGTCCACATGATCATCTATGCCTAGCTATCTGACCTGATATTTTATCCCTCTCCATTTAACCCCCTTCACTTTGGTACCCAGACCTGTTAGATGTTCCTTTCATATGTCAGACCCATTCCTCAGCCAGGGCTTTCATTCATGCTGTTTCCTCTGGCTGAAACCCTCTTTCCATAGATCAAATAGCTTTCTCCCTCATTTCATCCCAATGTCACCTCGTCAGAGAGGTTCCTGGATGACTGTATCCAAAATAGCTGCCTTCCCACCAGCACAATCATTCTCTAACCCTTTACTCTGTTTCTTGCTTCTTCATGATACTTATTATCATGGGAACCTATATTTACATGGTTTTGTCTATATCCGCCCCCCCTCAGAATGTCTATGAAGGCAAGAACTTTGTCTTGTTTGCTGTTACATCACCTGACCCTAGAACACTGGCTAGCATATTATAGGCACTAAACCAATACGTGTTTATTAATGAAGTATTCTATGAACATCTCATGGAAACATCTCCTATAGAATATCAAGTATTATAAGTTAGCAAGAAGATATCAACTGATTATAATAGCTAATGACATAAGCTAACAATGATTAAGCCAAGCTCTCTGCTAAGACCTATATATACCTATCTGCTATGTTTGGTTTCATAAATAAGAGGAAGGTAAGATAAAATAGAGAAGAAAAAGAGAGGAAATTTGCTACTTTTGAAGGACGAGGAAAATGAAGGAGAAAAGGGAAAGTGCTGGGAGCTACATAAATGTATACCAAATTATAATTATCATAAGAAAAACCGGAGTTGTCTATTTCCTTGTCAAAAGTATTAGATTTTTGTGGAAACACTAATATTATTGTATTTGGAGCATTTTGCAAGTGCAGGATTTTTTACATTTACTGCTATTTTGAGATTGTTCTGATGTGATTTTTAATTTATTGGCACCCTGAGATTGTCCTATTGTTCACGATTTGTAGACATCATCTTTATTTCCAATATTTAGAGATCATATTTCAAGTAATAGCTGTAGACATTTCTTTTAGGCGTCTAGCTACAGCCATCAATTATATGAGTAATATTCTTATATAAGACACTATTGAGGTCATAGTAAAACAAAATGAAATGCTGAATGGGTAGAAAAGTTTCATATACTTACAATTGCTCTTGCAAAGTTTGTACCATGATCCATTGAGGAAAAGAGAGTAATAAAGTCACATGCTAGAGTACACACAGATTTTAAAGTATTTAGGTTGGTGCAAACGTAATTGCGGTTTTTGTCATTCTTTTTAAACTAATATACCAGGAGTCCTTCTATCTTTATGTTGCTTGCTTAATTTTATGAACCATACAAGGCAAGCCCTATCACATAAATGTCCAATCCGAAGTCTGTCTGAAATTACTTTTTTTAAACTTGGGTTTGTGTAATTTGAACAATACTTTAAAAAGGAGAAATTCTGTCCAGAGAAAAGCCCTGATAAATTTTTGTCACTGCTAATAGTTGGACTTAATTGTCTTTAAGATAAATTTTTATATTTCAGGATGCTATTCAGACAAAAAAAATGTTTAAATAAATTCACACTTCATAAACACAAAAAAGGAAAAGTTCATAAAAAATATGCAGCCCAACAGTCATTACAAATAATTGTGGATATTTTAGACACTTCAAATTCAGTTTTGGAGATACTAATTTGGAAATACCAAATATGTGTACTACTATCTCAACTACTATTTTAACCAAAATATCTGCATAAGAGAAAGTTAAATGGGGTATAAACTGGGGCAGGACAGTATTTAAAAAGTAAAATGATCAATTAAAGTTAATAAATAACTTTAATTCTGGTTCTGATGTTCTAGCCTCCTCAATTAGATAGAAAAGAACAAATGGAAAGCTGGATAATGCCACAAAAGGGTTAATATTAGCAAGCTAGGGATGGAGGCGCTGTACACCATCATCATGTATTTTTCCATCTTAAGCAGCATACCACTCCTAAGTAAAAAGAATCATTTTACTGACCCAGCTCCGAGTGTTTATACAGTGCAGAAATATGTGTCTTGGCTCATAATCCCATTCTCCTTTTAAAGAAACCCAGTGACCACAATTTTCATCCCAGAATATTATAACAACCCAGAGAGAAAAATTTAGAACTGGTACCAAGTCAAATCCATGAGTTTAGCATGGTTTCAACAAATGCTTCAAACACATTACAGCAGAGATAACCTAAATATGACAAAGGCTTGCAGTTCTCATTATTTATTTCCAAGTGAAATGACTGTCAGTAGACATGCAAGCTGTCCACTTACTGGTCTGCCATGATCTCCAGGTTTTCCTGGCTTCCCACTTGGTCCTGTGACTCCCGGGGAGCCTGGGCTTCCCTACAACACATGGAGAGGGAAGGGGACTGTTATGACAAAGAGAAAATCCCATCTAAAGAAAATGAATACAGCTTGTTTTAAAAGCATTTAAATGAAACAACTCATAATTACACATTCAGGAAGAATAAAACCAAATTTTAAGATAACATGAAATAAAAAACTCTTGACAATTACAGTGCAATCCTTATGGACTATATAGTTTTAAAATATATTTTGAGACCAGTTGAAAAATACATGCATACGTATACAATCAGTTTCACAATTTAAGACTGTGATCCTAGTAAATTGGTTACAAAGTGGATTTGCAGAAAGCAATTCCCTTTTTTTTAAAGTTTCCTACTACAAGACCAGACAATCCTTCAAAACACAGAAGTTGAAAATTTGGGCTGGAGAAGAATTAAGAAGGTGGCCAGTTTTGTGCTAAGTTGGGCACCATGGCGGTAGAGTCTTCCCTTGTCTGCTGAGAATTGCACTCTCAGCTGAGAAATTCATTTTTCCCTTTGGAGCATTCTCCACACTTTCATTCCGTTCCATCATGTCAGCACCCTTAACCCCACCAAAATCATAAGATTTTCTCCCTGTTGCTTTTACCACAGCTTCCAGACATTTTGGTCCTATATTTAATAGAATATTTATAATATGTACTGGCCAATACGTCATGTTCTAAAGCCTAAAATTTTCTTAACATGGAATGTTCAGATTTTGTCAAGCAATCCTTTACTCCATTGATTATGCAAGTGTTAATCTCTACAGTAAACACTTAATATGAAAGTTTGCTGTGCATTTAAATCCCCCATTACCTAAAGATCTATATTTGAAACATAAATGATACAATTATTTTAACATATGCTCTTTAGTCTTCATATCCTGCCACACACACATGGAGGCTATCCATCACCTCAAACAATTTTACTGGGATCTCACCTGGATGCAAGTATACAGATGGCAGTTTCAAAATCATTAATTTCAGTATTTTTCCCAATATCTTAAGTTGAAGACCTTTTTAGTTGTAGATAAAACTGACTTCCTCAGAACAACTGATGGCTGTTCAATAATAAATGTTCTTAAATTTTAAATGTTATAGCCACAGATTCTTAAAATTCTGTAACAGGAAATAACTGAACCACTGAGGTAATAAAACCCAACCACTCAATGTAGGGATGAAGAAACTGAGGCACCAACCAGCTAGTAGCTAGTTAGTTAGGGATTTTTTTTTTCTTTTTCTCAAGTGTAACTTGATTAAACAGAAAGATTCCATATTTTAACACATCTGTTTTCTCTAGCACATTTTGATGTAGGTAAATAAAAACACATTTCCCTCAATGATATACTCCACAGCACAGATTGAATGTGCTTCAAAAGCAGGTTACCTAGCTCTTCTCCAGCAAAATGGAGTGAGAGGGTCCGGGTGAAGGGCACAAAACTGAAACACATTTAGTTCTTACCGGTGGCCCCGGTGGGCCCCTGGGTCCCATTGCACCGTCTTTTCCAGTGAAGCCCTATTGTAAAAATGAAAGTAATTACAGTTAGGGAGGTCATGAACAAGTGAAAAGAAAAGATGCTAAACAAGTTGCTAAAGCTGAAGGCTGAAGAGAAGGATTTAGCCCAACGTGCTGTTTGGCAGGTGAGCTTTCAATATGAAGGCAAAAAGCAAAAGAAAAAAAAAAAGAAAGAAAAAAAATATTTTCAATTTAACTTATGCCTTTTACTGAATAATTAACTTCTATGCTCATTCACTTGTATAGTTATAAATAAAACAATTTTAAGAACCAAACTAATCTTCTCTCAGGAAGGCAGATTCCCTTCATGAAGATTTTTTTTTCTTTTGTAATAGCATAAAGAAGTCTAAAGGAAGATTTATACATTCTATGGAAAAATCAATGTCCACAGGTTGGCCCAGGAACGATGCAGGTGAGAGGAAAGGAAAGTTGCTGAGAAAAGCAAGTGGTATCATAAAAGATGATATTGTGGTGGCAGAGTCTTCCTTTGTCTGCTGGGAATTGGACTCTCAACTTAGAAATTCATTTTTCCCTTTGGTGAATTCTCCACGCCTTCATTCTCTTCCATCATATCAGCACCCTTTACCCTCAACAAAACAGTAAGAAATCCTCCCTATTGCTTTTATCACAGCTTCCGGATATTTTAGCCATATATTTAATAGAATATTTATAATATATACTGGTCAATACATGTTCTAAAGCCTAAAATTTCCTTAAGATGCAATCATCAAACTTTATAAAACATTCCTTTACCAAATATGCAAATATTAAGCTCTGCAGTAAATATTTAACATGAACGTTTACTATACATTTAAACTCCCCCTTATCTAAGAATATATATTAAACATAAATAATAAAATTATTTTAACATATGCTCTCAAGTCTTCATGCCCTGCCATGCATACAGACATAGAGAAGTCTGTATGGAAAATCCTGACCACCCAATTAGAAAACTCCCTTCCTCATTCCCTGAGCAATTGTCAGACAGCTAGAGCAGGACTACTTATGTCTCCACTCCTGGTGAATTTCTTTCTTCCTCTCTCAAAAGAGGCAAAGCTGGACTGGGTGCAATAGCTCATGCCTGCAATCACAGCACTCTGGGAGGCCAAGGCAGGAGGATTACTTAAGCCCAGGAGTTGAAGACCAGCCTGAGCAACATAAGGAGACCCTGTCACTAAAAAAAAAGTGAAAGAAAAAAAAATAGCCAAGCATGGTGGCACACACCTGTGGTCCCAGCTACTTGGGAGGCTGAGGTGGAAGGATCACTTGAGCCCAAGAGGTCAGGGCTGCAGTGAGCCATGATCACCACTGCACTCCAGCCTGGGTGACAGAGTGGGACGCCTGTTCAAAAAAGAAAAAAAAAAAAAAACAGAGGCAAAGCTGTCTTAACTGCCCTCCACTCAAAAGAGAGGAAATCCTCAATCCTGATAATAAGCAGTTAATTTTTGCAGTGGTCTGTCTCTCTTCATCACACACAAAGGCCAGAACTGCCTCAGCGTCAGTTCACTAGGCAGGAATAGAGCACATCTCCCCACAGGCTTGATCTCTGGCTCGTGCGCCCGCATTTATATGTTATTTTTTTCTCTCTCTGTACAGTGCCAAATGACCTTCGCCTGGAATGAGTCATCCTGCTACCCAGTTAGCATTCACTCTCAACAGCAGATCTCTGAAATCCAGCCGAGGATTTCTGAGTCAGGTCATTTTTTAGAGATGTTGCATTCCTCTGTCAGAGATTTTTGTCTCATTTTCTGCAGAGTGTGAAAGTAATCGTTTCATCCATATTCTTGGATTTTCACAAAAGTCAACAATTTGGATCTCTTCCCGAATTAAGTATCCACACTTTTTATTAGTGCATTGACTTTACAATAGAAGTTTAAATTATTCTTTTTACTTTGTTGGAAATATTCCACTTCCCCCCCCAAAAAAAGACTTTTTTCAGAAACTTTTAGAGATAAGATTTCAGCTGTTTGCTGAAAGATCTAGGCCTGACTAACAAAAAACAGATCCTAACCCTATCTGATGTAACATCCGTATCACTTCTAACGGCCACTTAAGAAAAAAAATTCCCTATAATATTACTTGCACAATTTGAATAAAATTTCTTCTACCCAAGTTTCTCCAACTATATAGGATGCTCTTTTTCATTTTTTATGGTAAGTATCATATTTCTAAATAATTAATCCCCCTTTAGTCAGTCTAAGAACTTTCTGATCAACCATTTCCTTTTAGAGGAAACATATTCCTAAATTGGAGTGAAGAAGATTTATTGTGAAGTACTCAAAAAGGCTACCCATTATGCCATCTGCAGAACTTCGTACCACAATTTTATTTTATTCTTCAATTTTGGTGCAAGCCGCAGCAGTTATTTCCACTTCTACCCATGTGAGGGTGGCTGAGAAGACCGATGACCATTTTCATAGATACGCATGTACAGATACCTGTATATGTGGTTCTTTGGTTACTTTCTAATAGCCCCCAATACTGTGCCTCATTTCAAAAATCGTCTGTGCGGAAGACGATCTCTGTATCTTGTTTCTCCCTACTTGATCCTGCTAACAAATTCTTCATTCCTCACCACAACTCTTGGCCTTGATCTCTTGTGCTTCCTTCTCTTCACTTCCACTACTGAGTTCAAGTTTTGTTTTGTTTCAGCTGAGATTCCCATCTCTCTAACTTTCTAAAATTGTTGATGCCCCACCCTCCTTTTTGCATTAGTGGTCGTTTACTAAGCAGTAGGGAGGTACACAGGCTGTGAAGGAAAAGGGAGAACAGTATCCTGAAAAGTTCTCTTGCCCTCATCCCAGGGTGGCCTCACCACAAAGCTGGACACAGACTAGAATTTGAGAACGGAAGAGCACAGTCCCTTCCAGTCTCTTACTTTTCAAGGATGCAGTGACGCTGCCTGATGGTGATGTCTGTCTAAGCGCCAGTCCAGAAAGGCAGTGCTGCTGGGAAGTATGCTAGGGACCCCGCCGTGTGTCTGCATGAAGCCCACATTGGGGTGGATGTGATGGGCACAAAGTTTCAGTCATAGCAGCAGCAAGCAAGTCAGCCCATCGCCACTTCTCAACCGCAATATTCTGGGGTTTACTTTCTAATAAAGAAGACTGACTTGTCACCCTTGTACTCTCACTGTTGTCCTTTATTATAAAATAAGAATTAAAAAAAAACCTAACGTGCCAGTCTCAAAAGAGTCAGAAGATGTATATGTCAGAACTACCTCCACATCCCATATCCCAGAAAATAGTTTTCTCTTTGACCTCTGTCGTATCTCTCCCCCAAACTCAAAAGGAGGCATGGGAACAAATAAAGTTCACTGGCATATCATCTACCATTTTGTATTATCTTAGGGCAAATCTTTGCTCCCTCTGAATGGCCTGCCTCTGCCCAGCGGTGTCTTGGAGGTGTTAAGGCTAATAGATCTATGTTTAGTGACAGCTGTTACAGTACTGGCTTCCTCAGATCCTGCTGCTAGTCATATATTTTAACTAGATTGATTAATCAAAATACAAACTCCTCTCAGACTATTTTTGGAACCATAAGATGCTGAAAAGTCATTAGTTCCTTTGTTTTGCGAAACTCTTAAAATTTCTGGGTTCTTTTAATTAAAGCATTTGTGGTCTCCTGTGGAACCAAATGTTTCACATCATTGATGAATAGAGCATAGAGGTCATGTTCACCATGCTTCTCATTAACTTATCCTAGAGAAGACTGGGCTTCCTGTACTGCTTTCGTGCTAAGTCAAAACCAAACCTGAAAGCTGCTACCAATAGGAAAAGTTCCTACTAAATACCAGCTGTCTACCCCACCCTCAAGGCCTAGAAGTGGTATTTGAGTTCTAAAGGTGTAGACAGGATGTCTTGAGTTTGTATAAAGTGCTACGGGAGTCAAGGCTACCCTCATGGTTACAGAAAAGCTGCCTCATAACTAAGATTTTAATTTTAAAATTTAAAACAATTTGCTGAGATTCTTAAATCTCTTTTTAATCAGTTAAAACTCCTTTTCTGGACTTCTTTTTATGAATATGATACAGTAAGAAATTTTCTGAAAATTAAAATTTCAAAGACTCCCCTAGAGTCCCACCATTTTATTTCAAAGACCTTGAGATTGATCTGATGTTGGGTGGTCCACTGACATTAGCTTTGCAGCTTTCCACAAGATACATGATTCATTACCAGCTTTGCAAACTGGATTTTGAAGGGTTCTTAATTAATAGGCAACCATGTGACATCATTTCCAACATCATTATAGCCTGCCCAAGAAAACTTACTCTATCTCCTGGAGGTCCCATTGGTCCTGGTGGGCCAGGTAACCCTGGAGTTCCCTGCACAGAAGGAAACAAACAAGTGAAACATTATAATATACTTCCTGTGTGGGAGAGAATCCTTGCTCTTTTCCAAAATGTTTTTTTTAATTCCAGAGACTCTGAAAAGAAACTGGAGAACAGAGTCAAGCACACTGCCAAGCATACAGGAGATGCTCAGTCAACGAGCAGATACCTGAATTGAACAGCACCAACTTGAAGGCTAAGACCAGGATATGAAATGGAAATGAGGTGAAACACATATCCAGGCTTCCGCTTTGCTACTTAACCTGGGTTCACCTTTTGAGGCGCTACAAAGGGAAATTTTCAAATAACGCATGACAGGGGGAAGAAAAGGCAACTTAGAGACCAACTCACTGTTCGGCCTGGAAGTCCTGGCTCTCCAGCATCACCTTTCATCCCTTGGCGACCCTAGAATGAGCAATGGGAAAACAGTTCTCAGGCATTTCACAGAGATTAAGTTAAAAAGGAAGACATGAGTCACTTACAAACTCTTCATCACTTCATAAATCCAGAATGAGCACAGAAGGGTATTTTTGAAAGGGGATGAATAAACCTTTTTTGAATTAGTGCTCATTTTTTAAACTACAAATGCTGTGTTATAATTTCTACTTACAATGTTATGGGATAATTTTATATAATTATGGGATATTATACTTGCCTTAAAAGAATACAGTTTAACATAGGCGATATCTACATTACTTATAAGAAAATGTTTAATGAAGTCAAATAAGTAGCAGTAATTTTTTCTACACAGTTTTATATTATTACATAGTCTATTTACATATCTAAAATAACAGTCATCATAGTGACTACTATCTTGGTGACTAACCTTGTTGAACTATCTGAGAAAACATTTGATTTGGCAAAATGTAGAAAAGATTCATTTAACTAAATGTTTATCCACCATTCTTATTTAATGCAGAAAGGCTTTGTGCTTACTTGCTCTCCCGGAATAGAGAGTCCATTGGGTCCCTGAGGGCCTGGAGGACCCTGGGGGCCTGGAGGACCTATGTCTCCACGAGGACCAGGGGGCCCCTAAAATACACAAGAGAGAGACAACCACAAATAATATAATACTTTTTCAGTGCTGACATTTAGTCAGACACTTGTCATCATAGCTCTAAGACATCAATCATATAATCTTTGTAAACATTTCAGAAATCTACATCTATGAATGTATTTATTAATGTAATTTCCTTCTTCCCTTTACTATTGAAAAGTGCAATAAATTCACAAAAGCACTTCCTTTCCATAAAAGTCCTATTAGAAATAGATTTTTTAAATAAAACACATTGCATATAAAACATTCATATATTAATTTTCATAGACTTATATGAGATTAATAGCTCAAGTCTCACTGGATTTGATTTATTTTAAGCTAGTCCTCATTTCTCTTAGACTTCAGCTTATTTCTGGGACTAAAGGATATAAAAATCAAGCAAGGAAAGAAAAGATGCCCATGGGTGAGGTGCCCTGTGCTGGAGCTCTTTTGCGATCTGTCTAGGTGGAAAAGGCACAACCTTGGCGTCAGGCCTGGGTTAGCATTCTAATCTTGCCCTTTCCTAATGGGGTTATTTTATCATTAATTATATTATGACCAAAAACTACATATTGTCTTCATAAAATATTCCCCTGAGAAGCTTGAGTTGTCTTACAGAAAACCAGTGTGGAGCTGGCAGAAGGGGCAGGTGACCCCTTGTGAGCACTCAGCATTTTCTTTTCTGAGACTGGTGAAAAAAGAAGCAGCAGAACTCCCAGCAGGCTCCAGCTCTCTAGAGGGTCTCTGCTCCCTGTGGGGTGTGGTTACTCCATCTGCTTCCCCATGTTCCAGCTAAGCCCTTAAAGATCTTCTGCAGCTTCCCCATGTGTAATTGTTATACCTATGACATGCATCCTATGCATTTCTTTCTCTGGCTTGTCTAATCCATCATTATGATATCCAGAGATAAGACAGAGGTAATTACATTACCTGAGGCACACTAAACCTGAGCTGACTTGCTCAAGATCACATCCCCGCTTTGTGAAAATTTGAACGATCAGATTTCAGCATATAGATGAAAATTTAAATGCACTCTAAAATATACTTACAACTGCCCCACTGATACCTCTTTCACCTCTGGGACCTTTAGCACCAGGCCCTCCCTAAAATACATAGAGCACATATTAGTGTGAACATAGGAAAGCAGGAAGAAGTTGATACATAAAAAGTGCTTCAAGAAAAAGTGCAATCTCCAGACAATTAATATTCTACAGTTGCTTGCAAAATATTGAAGCAAATATTTCATGTCATACAAATATGCAAGGCAAGAGAATTTCAAAACTTTGTACATTCTGAGCATCTTATTTTTTAAATTATATTTCATATTTCAAGTTTTCATTTCAAAATCTGAGGTTTGCTGGGAAAAGCAAACATACTACTTATATACAATAAAGAGAAAAATGAGCTTTGGATTTATATGAATTACATTCCTCAGGGAAAATGATGGGCAAAAAGAAGAATATCTTTACTCTCTCAGAATATTAGAACATGTACTTAACAGGAATTCAGAAACAACTGAACAAAGAGGAAATAAATATCATAGTGACATCCAAGCATGTTACCTCACAATGACAGGGGAAAAAATCCCAACATCTCAAAAACATCTAAGTCACATCCAGGATATAATTTCATGATTATAAATATAAATCACTGTTACTAGAAAAAAGAATGGTAATTCCAGTGACATTTTGATTCTATATATGAGGAGCTGCTTTGTAATTAACCTAAAATCAGTCTACATTATTTGCTAGGACGCAGGGATAGTAAGTTTTGGTGTTCTGTGAATCCCTGAGCTCTTCCTATGTTAATTACATATTTTCTTAAAAGAAGCCAATGGAGATTAGAGCTATCCTCAAAATTGGCCCAGATCAGATACTGGATTGACTAAATCAAGGGGTTTCACACTGATCAATGAACTCTATCACTGCAGTCTTCAATGTTTTGCCTTGCACTTTCTTGGCCTTCCCTCCCAACCAACGAATAAATCTGGTCACAGTCTTCTCACTCAAGTTATTCCAAACGCAGAGTTTATGATATCACATGTGTTAATTACCCTCTCTCTATGTAATTCTCATGATACATCTGCTACATAAGGTGCACATGTTCTAGGTTCTCAACAAGTTGTTCTTGAGTCAGCCTCTCAACTATGGCTTTGTACCAAACACTTAAGAAGCTTTCAGGAGACGTAAGGAATTTTCAGTCATGTAATTACAGATGGAAATCCAGCTTCACATCTTTAAGAAAAAAGCTCCTGAAGACTAGCCAATATTATCCTTCTTGCATGGCTGAAGAAATATGTCAAATGTCAGAATCAAATATTCTTCCTGATTTACTCCATTTCAGATGTCTAAATATACTAAAAAGATGGTCTGCAATTTAGCTTGCTCTATCCTAGAAAACCTGGATGAACTGAAGCATTTTATTGACTCTATACCAGCAAATAGATAATCACTCTAAAGATTTCAAAGGAAAAACCAGAGGAACTATTTCAATTTCCTTACTGCAGGGCCTGGAGGTCCTGGAGGTCCAACGCTGTCCTGTGTACATGTGCAAGAATTTGGAAAAGCAGGGCATTTTGCCTCATCTCTCTGCAATTTTGAAAAAAATATTTACCTTTAAATGTAGAGGAAAAAAATGCCTTCCCATCCCCACCCCCACTTACATGCACAAGGAAGTCTGTTTCCCAACTTAAAGAAATAATTTTACTTATCATTATGAATAGTCTTATGTTGAAACTTGCTGTGTTCCTTTATGTCTTTATTTTAGGCATTACATTAGGAAACCTCACTGACAAAGAAATGTTTACGTGACCACTGAGACCTCTGGTAATTTAATCCAATTTCCTCTAATCCGGTGTTAGAGACTTGTTGTGTATCTCAAATATCAATTCCCATTTGGGAAAAAAAAAAATCCAGAATTCTGTCCTCTTTCTCCATTAGCCACATTGTTTTGTCCCTCACTTCATTCAGGTCTCTGCTTAAATCTCCCCTTATCACTGAGGGCTACCATCACTGTCTATCCCTTTGCCCTGATTTGTTATGCATCCTAGGACTTTCACTCAATAATATAGTATATATGTCATTGTTAATTCGTTCTCTTCCAGTGCCTTTCACTGGAATACTCACTTTTTACTGGCTTAAAACAAGCACACAGATTGGTGCCCAGCTTATAATAGGTGCTCAATCAGTATTTGCTGAATAAACAATGCACACCCTTCCTGTGGATGTATGTGGGTCTTTGCTGGTCAAAAGTTTCAAATCCATCACCAACATTCAACATTGTAACCATTACCACCTACATAGATACTATTAAAGAAAGGCCATCATCTCAAAAAGAAATACTATGGTTATTTCTACCATCTAAAAAACCTTAGTTATCCAGAAAGGTGCTGGCTTGTTCTGTAAAATGCTGATAATTTACAAGCAATAAGAGGGCTTTACAGTAAGTGGGCTTATCAAACACATTAACTCAGCAGGACTTTTCTGTTAGGGAGAATTTCCAGATACAGTCTGTGCATTCCCAGCTTGTGAGGGAGGGTTCACACAGGCACTGGCTTTTCTGTAGTAGCTGGTGAGCACCCACACGTTGCGTGTCTTTTAGCTCCATCCTGAAGATGCAACTGTGGAGTGCTACTTCCTCTCCCAGGCACAAGGGTTCATTCCTGGGAAACTGTTAAAGCCATGACAGAATTCAATTCTGTTTTACTTACCCTAGAGGGAATATCACAGCATCTGTCTCTACTGGTCCACACTGGGCTGCAGACAATGTCAAAACTCTGGATTTGGAACTGCAAACAACCAACAGCAACATCAGCTAAAGATGCATGAAAAACATTTTATATTGGCATTTCCACATTGTAACCATTGCCAACTTCTCACACAGACTCTGTCAAGGGTGTGAGCCATTGAGAGCAATGTGATCCTTACATCATGAGGAAAGAACATAAAAACATATGCCTATGAGAAAGAGATAGAAAAGTGAAACATGTATGTAGATTCCCACTCCTGATTCAATACTTTAGCCAAAATGCAATGTTTGAACATATGCCTATGAGAAAGAGATAGAAAAGTGAAATGTGTATGTGAGATTCCCACTCTTGATTCATTTCTTTGGCTGAAATGCAGTGTTTGAGTTTTGTGTCATTTGTTTGTTGTGTGCTTTCTTTTTTTTTTTTTTTTTTTTTTTTTTTGAGACAGAGTCCCACTCTATTACCCAGGCTGGAGTACAGTGGTGGGATCCTGGCTCACTGCAACATCTGCCTCCCAGGCTCAAATGCTTTTCGCGCCTCAGCCTCCTGAGTAGCTGGGATTACAGGTGTGTACCACCATGCCCAGCTAATTTTTTTGTATTTTTTAATAGAGGCGGGGTTTTACCATGTTGGCCAGGCTTGTCTTGAATTGCCAGACTCAAGTGATCCCCCCAAAGTGCTAGGACTACAGGCGTGAGCCACGGTGCCCAGTCTTGTGTTATTTTTTAAGAGAATATTAATTTCTATAATTAAATGAATTTCAAGCCTACATACATTTAAATCAAATTTGTTTTTTGTTTTTTGTTTTGTTTTGTTTTGAGGTGGAGTCTCACTGTTGCCCAGGTTGGAGTACAGTGGTGTGATCTTGGCTCACTGCAACCTCTGCCTCCTGGGTTCAAGAGATTCTCCTGCCTCAACCTCCCAATTAGCTGGCATTACATATAGCTCCCACCACCACGCCTGGCTAATTTTTGTTTATTTAGTAGAGATGGGGTCTTACCATGTTGGCCAAGCTAGTCTCAAACTCCTGACCTCAAATGATCCACCCGCCTCGGCCTCCCAAAGTGCTGGGACTACAGGCATGAGCCACCACGCCCAGCCTAAATCAAGCTTTAAGAGCCTACCCTTATAGAAAAGTAACATTAAAGTAAATTAAAGAAACAATTCTTTACTTATTCTACAATTGATGCTCTTCTTTTTAGAAATTATTACCAGGGGGTTGACCAATAACTTTTCTGATATCCTCAACTATTTCAAGATAGCATATATCTTATATCTTTCTATAGCTGAAAAATAAACTACTTTTGATAAAAAGTGAAAAGTTGTTTAGACAATGTTATTCTTTTAAAAACATGATGTAATTGTTATACTTAAATGTCAGATTCAATATTCAACAGAAGGTTTGGATTTTAATCAAAATTATATTACATTTGAACTAATTGTTTCTATATTGTGGAATAAAAATTTTCCTTTTGAATCTAGAAGAAAATCCTGTCCATGAAAGAAAGCTAAATTAAATAAATAAAGCCATTTTAAAAATAATAATTATAGAAGCCAAACAGGTTAGCTTTGCTTTTAGGACAATAGGTCTATTGACTGACATTGATTGATTGATTGATTGATTGATTGATTGAGACAGGGTCTCGGTCTGTCACCCAGGCTGGAGTGTAGTGATGCCATCATAGTTCTCTGTAGCTGCAAATTCCTGGGCTCTAGCAATCTTCCCACCTCAGCCTCCCAAGTTGCTAGGAATACAGGCACATGCCACCACATTCAGCTGATTTTTTTTTTTCCTTTTTATAGAGACAGGGTCTCACTATGTTGCCTAGGCTAATCTTGAACTCCTGGCCTTAAGTGATTCTCCTTCCTTGGCCTCTGAAAATGCTGGGATTATAGGCATGAGCAATGGTGCCTGGCTTTGAATGACATTTAACATGAATTTAATTAGCTTGGTATGATGACAACTTTAGATTTAAATTTTCCCTACTAGATAGCATTGTAAATGGGGTTGTCACGCTCTGCCTCAAACCTGAGATGGTGAAAGTTGTGAGTAATGGGGTCAGCTGGCTGCCCTACTCCACTGATCCTTTTGAGACAGACAGCCGAATGGCACCTCTGTGAGCAAATGCGGGCTCTGGTGAAAGTTGCAACTAGTGTCCCCAAATGCTTAATATCCTGACTGCACAAATCTATATTAACAATTATTGCTGAAGAACAAAATAGGAATGATTTTCTATTTCACTGGGTATGCTGGCAACTCTTTGTGTGGTATTCTCCAATTTGATCCTGTTTCAAGATGACTGCATGGTGTTTCCTGGTGCCTTGACATCTTATTTTGTTTCTAGTAAGTAGTTAAAGCACATTATTATGTTCTGTGGACATATTTTCTCAATGTACTTCTTCCAATGTTTTGATCTGACCAAGAAATTTGACAACTTAAAACTCACTGAGAAAAACAGAATAAAATAAAACTCATGGAGTTGTTCAGAAAATGCCATTTCAATCTCAACACAAGGTACCAAGAAAAGTAAAAATGTGTTACTCACTGCGGCTGATTTCCTTTCCCCTTTAAGGAGTTTTCCAAGAATTTCATAACCATCAGTTGTTATATTTCCAGCTTCCTTGATGTCTTTTTCTATAATTTCATAGCAGTCAATGTAAATCTTAACACTTTTTGGGGTCACCACAATATGAACCTAAAAAGATAATTTGTTTCCATTATAAAATTTCTACACTAAAAAATTAGCTGACTCTGCATAGTTCAGATCAGATTTTTTTTTAAGTTTTTTAAGCTATTTTCATCCTAATTCAAAAGTCTTACTCTAAAAATCCAAGAACAGTTGGCAATGTCAATGAAATCATTCACTGATAATATGAAACTAGACAAGCCACTTAACCTCTGGTCTCAGTTTCCTACATGCACATATACATGCATAATTTCTTGTTTTCTTATTATCTACTCTTACTGAGATGACCAGAGAGGATGTAGTAGATGAAATGACTTTGTAAGCTATAAAGAGCTATTCAAATAGAGGTTAATAAATCATGCATATATTATTATATTCACTACAAGGAAATTTCAGATGTCTTCCACTAATTTTGCTAAATTCATCTTTCAGTTTGTTGTTCCCCAATCTCAGGCAGAAATAATCTGCATACCATACAGATATCTCATACAGTAAAGAAGTAGCACATGTCTTCTATAGGGATTCAACTCTGGACATCAACAGTATTAAGGATTCAATTTCCTTTTAAGGAAAGAAGTTTATATTGATTTATTTTTCGTTTGCTACTGAAGACACACAGAATGTTAAAAACTCTATTAGTATAATTAACAAAATGTTTGTATTTCAACAATGTAAAGAATGGTCCTGGGTAATCCCTGTCTGTATAGTTATGTTCAAAGTTTCTACTTATCACAGCACAAATACTCAAGTAAGCCCTTGATGATGACTTTGAAAAGTTTGGCAGCAAATTAAAAGGAACAGAAATTCCCTTAAATGTTCTCAGTCGATAAGCATAAGAATAATTTCTAAAGTATTTTTTAAACTAAATATTTTTCCCACATGGAATCAGCACCAAAACATAAGTTTACTGCATCTGTGATAAATATAAATTACATATTGCTTTTATATAAAAGTAATACATAGGTTACTAAAAATAAAGTTTAAATGCCCCCAGGACAATCAACTAATACTGAACTCAAGAAGAACACTATACTAGGATATTTTTTTATCTAATAAGAACTAAAACTTTTTGGCTCATATATGAACAACCACAGATGCAAACATTGAAAAGGCATGTGAAAAACCGCAATATCCGGAAAAATTATTTCAACATTTTTAATTCATGACAAAATTATTTCAGTAACACTCATTGAATGCTAGCCATAGAGAAACACATTCTAGAAGTACATTTTGCTATAATTTATTCAGTGTGTTTTACTGCAGTTTAAACGCATTTCAGATTTGGCCCTTTACCTGTAGATCATTGTGCCAAGTATGTAGAGTAACCAACCTATTTCCTAAATGATGTGTTGTTGATCCCAGACCAGTAGAAAAAAATAGGGAGCCTCTTGTCACTCGTCTCCCTTTCCAGACTCTGCCATTCTAGTTTTCTTTCTTATTATAAATGTCTCACGTGAATCCATGTCATCTTTTAACCATAGAAGGGAGACACAACAAAAGCTTTTCAAGAGAATCCCCAAGAAGGGATAACTGTCCGTCATTCCTTAATTAAACTATTTTAGTTGATCCTTCTCCTCAAAAGTCCCTCTCCCCGTCACTGTCACTGATTTCCTGTTCTTGAAATATTGCTCATTCTCATCCCAGGTTTGAAAAACTTCAATTCAGGAATTAGATGGAAAATGAAAGAAGAGTGCTTGAATCCTTGGCTCGGTAAAAAAATGTGAACAGCTGAGAGTGACTGAAGGTGGTACTTGAATTGATGGGATAAATGAGAGTGGGCCAATGGGGTGGGGGTATTTTATACTTGGCAATTTGCAAGATGCTAGATCTTAGATTAAATTGGTTCGGCACATACACACACACACAACGGTAACTGTAGAGGTAATAGATATGTTAATTAGCTTGATTGTGGAGATTATTTCACAATGTGTGTGTATATCAGAACACCTCATTGTACACCTTAAGTATATGCAATTTTTCTATATGACATCTCAATAAAGCTGTTTAAAAAGAAAGAATGGGTTTAAGGAATGGAGGACAAAAGAGAGCACAGTGGGAAAAAAGGAGAAACTAAAAGAGAGATTATTAAAATAAAAAACAAAGAAGAAGGTAGACAGTTTGGAAAGAAAAGGCAGAGCTTTTGAGGAGAAAAAAATAGGCGTTATATAAAACCCAAGAATGCAAATATCTTTCTTTGGGAGGCAAATGGTATAAAGAAGAGAATGTCAAAAAAAATTGTCTTGATTTGTAATCATTAATGACTATCACTACAGACCTCTAAAAAATATTGCCTTTTAAAAAATTCAGATAAAATGAAGCATTCCATGACAGTTGGAAATTTTAAAATAACAGTTACCAAATGGTTATCAGTGGTTTAGCAGATGATCAGATTCTCAATATCTTCAGTGGTTATGAAAGGAAAAATAAAAATAGTCCTTTTTAGCAAGTTACTCAAATGTAAGTTTCACTGAGCCAAAAAAGTTCATAAGAACTTTGCCAGATTCAACATCTAAGATCAGATAAGGATCAGTTGAAGCCAGTAACACTTGCCAAACTTGAATTTGCTTTTCCGATGAGGCATTTATTTTACTTCACTTCACTATGGAGGTCTGTAAACCTTTAAGCAGATATACCATTGTACTCAGAGATTTTTGTTTTTCCTTTTTTTTTTTTTTTTTTTGGTATCACTAATATGTACATTGAAGCTTCCTTGAGCTTGATGAAGACAGTCCTTTAGCATCCTTATCAAAAATCTGATTAATGAATAAGAACAACAATCTGGAAAGAAAGCAAGATTCCTCAGGAGTAGAAACAGTAAGAAATACTGCTAAATCTACTCAGGTAGAATAAATTTCTTCAATTTTCACTTGAGAATCAGCTTGAACTGGAAACATCTGTCTTTTATGTATAAAGGCTAATCTTTCTACATGCCACACTGAAGAAATTTTAAAGCATTTGTGCAACAACTGGTATTCCTGCTAACATAATCCAATGGATGAAAAAATACCATTAAAAAGTGAATTCCTACACATAAAGGGGAAAAACACATACTGTGGCCTATCAGAGGGTGTCAGGTGAAAGGAAGGAGAGGATCAGAAAAAATAACTAATGGGTACTATGCTTAATACCTGGGTACAAAATAATCTGTAGGATAAACCCCCATGACTCATGTTTACCCATGTAACAAACCTGCACATCTTGCACACATATCCCTGAACTTAAAACAGAAGTTTTTTTAAAAAGTTCATTCCTAACCTCCATTCCTAACCTAGATCATTCTTTTTATTTCTAATGCTTCCAACTTCAGTATTTTCTAATTAAGAAGTGCTTATTTGTCAATGAATTGTCCTTCAGAAACCTGAAAAAAAAGCTTCTACTATCTGCTGGGTGTTGACATACAGAAAATTGATTAAGATAATCAAGAACAGACAATCCCTAGAATGCATCTTAGAACTTTTAATAAGATTTTCTAGAGAATTATGTTTTTAAATAATGTGTGTTCACATAAAAATTAATATCATAAACATTTATCTTAATTATTTTGGTAGATACTGATAGCTTTTGGATTGATAAAAATAATTATTATGCATTTCACTGGCATGTTTGTACTTTTCAACAAAAAGTAAGCAGAAGAAATATTATCAATTAAAAGATCCACTAAAATTAAGCTTTGCAGACTAAATGACACAAAGATTCATAACAAAATGGTAACCAGAAAAGTAGGTGAATAATATTATATATACTATATGATTCAAATTTTAAAAAGAAATAAGCATTAAAAATATATCAAAATGTTAGTAGTTATCTCTTGATTAGTATATTGTTTTATTTTAAATATTATTTGAATTAACCAAATTCTCTAAAATATGATTTTTTTAAAGATTTTATTTTTAAAAGACATAGTTATAATTCCACCAATTTAACATGACATTTTAATAAATAATAAATTTGTTTTATATTTTTTCTAGAAATAAGACTCAAATAATCTGTTTTTACCTTATGAAAACTTCCATAAAATAATGACTTTACTTCATCTGTGTCAAATGTAACAGTTTGTACCTCGCCTCTTATATCCTTGTTAAAGAATGATAACGTCTTGCTAGAAGCTGTAATCAACATAAAGTGTTATTAAATCACATGCATTGTATACTTTTTATTTAAAGTATTAGCAAATGATTCTTCGAGAGATTTCTTTAAAAATAAAATAATTTCAGTTGTGATAAAATGTAATTAGGATGTTTACTGATGTGTTATACTTGGAAAAGTTCAAACATAAAAGTATATATCAAATAAATATATATATATAATGTATATTCAGAAAGTTTTTTAAAAGAGAAAAGAAAAACATAATCAAAACTAAGTATGCATGCGCCTTAAGATAAAAATTCTTACGGTCTGCAATCACTCCAACTTGTGGTTTGTAGTCTCTGTCTGTGATTTGCCAAATTGCAAAAGGGTCACTGGGAGTTTCTGGGAGAAGTCTGAATAATAATATAATCGTGTATGAAGGAGGGAGTCCATTTGGGTGTAGGTCTCTGTTGGATAAAATGAAAGAAAAAGGAGAGGAAAGAAAAAAATGAAAGGAAGAAAGATTGATTGCTTTAACACCAAGAACAGATACTCTTTTAAATCTCTGCACCAGAATCTCATATGGGTAGTATTAGAGGCTATTTATAATAATCTGGCTCCTTCTGACTTCTCCTTAGAAGGAGAAAAATTTAGGAAGCACATCAAAAGAACAAGCACTAAAGATCCATTATGTAAATTGTAATCGATTATTTCTAAATTGATAAAGTCACAAAAGTCTGGGAAATTACAAAATAGTCTTTTATCCTACTAGTAATAACTAATTTTTTGAGACACAGAGTATTATAAAATTATATGATAATTTTAGAATGATAAACATTATGACTACGGATATCATTTGAAGAGAATGAATCTTCCTAAATATACTTAATTTCAAATGTCAGCTGTATGAGATCATAAAAACGGCTTAAGGTTTTAATTTCTCTCTCCCTCCCTGTCAGTAATAGTTTTTACACTTTCAAATTTCTCCCCTGAAATCAAAAAAATCACCCCCAGAGCTCATATATTCCCAAAAACAAAATCCATTTTAAATGTGAAGGCCATATACATGTGCAAACATTTAGTGATGATAAAAGGATGTGAATTAATTGAAAGGAAATGTTTCTTGGCTCTAAGCTGTAAGGCAAAACAAAAAACAAAACATTGGTCCCATGTGTCCCTCCAGACTTTAGTCAATCATTGTTCTGGGGGAATCTTTGAAGCAGAATTAATGGTTTTCTATCTGAGACCATTTAGTAACACTTTCTCCCTGAAGGTAAGAAAAAGAACCAGATAATAAACTCATAGAAAAGAAGCTATTCTTCCATGAATTTTGATAGAGGACACAGAGCTTTCATGTCCTAATACCACACCACTAATGCCATCTTGCTTTTAAAACATATGCTCTGGGTAAGCTGACATGATGTCTTTTATATGTTCAAGAACTATTTTTATAATATTCCATGTTACAAATAATATTTTCTCCACATCAACTCATCTCTCACCTAGCCCATTTTTCTCCTTCCTTAGTTAATTAGTGCTTGTGAAAAAATTATGTAATTGTATTTATGTTTCTTTCCTTTCAGTCAAAAGTTCTGATGCTTGAGAAAACAATAGGCTGTCATAAGTTAAAATGTAGAAATCATATGTTGAGCTGACTGGAAGAGTTAAACACCGGGTATTATGGTTCACTGAAAAACCTAGAACTCCGAGCCAACATGGTTAACCATTAAGGAGTTAGAGACTTACAATGTGGTCAAACTACAACAATACGATCTGTGCCTCTTAAAGTAAATTAGCTTTGGTTTTAGTCTGAATTTTCCATCAGCTTTCTCAGAGCATTTCATATTTCAGACATCATTTCTGACCCTGTCCTGAGCTTACAATACCTTTATTTCTCATTGTTCTTTTCTCTCCATAAATTGGCAAACACATTTTTCAACATAAAAAGTTTTCATTTTAATGAACAAGAAATACAGATTTCAGTTATCATACTCAGGTGCAAACTATTCATGAAGTAAAATAACATCTACAGCTACACAACAGATTGCTAGAGCATCAGCCAATAAAAACTAAATGCCAACTGTCTGATCATGGACGAGAAAAACTACCTTTCATTTTCTAGAGGTCTGAAACACTAAAAAGAATGTTTGCTCTCATTCTGCACTTATTCCATCCAGTCCTCTGCACCACAGGGAGAGATGTTCAAAATATTAAGTTGCCTTCCTGTTTTAACAGCTTTTCTAGCCTTAAATTCAAAAGGGTCAGTAATATGTTACCAGCATGAGCTTCTTGGATCTGGGAATAACGAGGCCTGAGTCTTAGTCTCCTGTGTGCAAACAACTATGTAACCTGGAAACAATTAACCCAACTGTATTTAAGAAAACCAATCAGGGTCATCCATAAGCAGTCTTCCAACAATTCTAAAGTTCCAGGATTCTGGGAAGTCAGCAAATATTCCTAGAACTTTCTGCAGGTCTTAAGAAAGGAGAACCTCCTGTTGTCACACTTACGCTGTAGGCTGATTTACAAATGCATTCTTCTGAATCCTGTAAGCTGAGTAGCTAGGGAAAGACCCTGACTCCAAAGATACTCCTTGTACAGAAGCAAAATTCTTTTCTGTCAGGTTGTACGCTTCAAGCATCTTAAAACCTTTACATCAGAAAAGAAAATATTAAATGAAGTACATTTTAATTATTTTATTGCTTAAATCTGGAAATTAATTAGCCCAAAAGTATAAATGCTTACCTGGTGAGGTGTAACCATCCAAATAAATGAGAGGACAACCTGCAATGTACAGTGTTCTTTAAGTATGATTCACCAACACGATGTACAAATTATATATGCACAGAAAGTAGCAATGAACATATTTCAAGTAATAAATGACATTGTTCATTTATTAAAATATTGTTCATTTATTAAAATAACTTCTCTATTTAATCTTTTATATATTATTTCTTGTACATTTCCTATGTGTAGGAGAAATTACACTGTTAACCAGTGTAAAACATATTTCCCTAACATTCTCTAATCCAATTGGAATTTTACAGTACTCTTAAAAATAATAAAATAGAATTAAAGGAGGAATTTTTCACATTTCTCAATAGATTTAAAGAACTTCCCTCCCAGGGAATTTTAGATTTCTGCAAAGGTAGGAGGAGCTTGTCCATCCCCAACCCTCTTCTCTGCCAAGTCTCCAAGCCTCACTCTGGCTACCAAACACCATGTAACAGTAACAAGTGTGCAGTAGTTTTTGCTCTGGACCCCTCAGAGCTGAGGGTACCAGATGGCTGCATCCAGGACCACTTGGAACAGAAGAGAAACCACTTAAGCCCCCTACTCACTTTCACCAGCGCAGCTGCGCTCCAAACTTCAGCATAAATGTTCATAGTAAACCAAGAAAGTTTGTTTAACCAGTTCTGTTTTTAATAGAATGTTTAATGGAGAGGATTATTATATTTGTAAAGCATAGCCCTGTCTAGGAGCAGGGGTCTGGACTAGCCACAGACCCCTGATCAATTATGTAGGATAAATTGCCTTCTGGTAATTATGGAAGATTAATTGCCTCCATAACCTATACCCCAAGAATTGGTGTTAATGGATGATGATAATAAATTGACTTAAATAATCAATCTTTGGTTCTTCACTATAGTTCAAAAGCTGAACTTGAAAATACAAACCCAAACAAACAAATGGGAATCCACTAAATTTCTGAGGAACCATTTTTTTTTCATTGCTGTCTTGAAGCATGGATGTTGACAAAACAAATACCAATTGATTACTAATGGGGAAAACCTTCATCTCACAGAAATGCCCTATGTATGCAATTTGAGGCTGAAATTAATTTAACCAAATGTCATAGGCATTAGGGTGGTGGGAAAAGGATATAGTAAAACACTTTTCCATACAAGGAAATTACATATTCCATACAAGGAAATTACATATTCAAGGCTAAAAATGAACTTCTGACAAGCACACATTTAGCATGATCGCAATAGGAACAGTGATTCATCAGGTTCTCAAGTGATTTCCCAGGATCTATTTATGCACAGACTTGATCCTACAAATGATATAGAATTGTCTACTAAGTAATTATTTTTCAGAATAAGTGAGGTTATAAATCCATGTTGACTGTGACTTACTTGAAGTGGCAGTTTCACAAACAAATGTAATAAGATTGTCTTCGATCTTCTCAAAAGATTCAAAGTCGTCCACAATGAACACATGCCGTTCACTTGGTTTGCTGGCAATGTTGGCAAGCTCGTTGTAGTCGACATCAGCCACACCAACTACAAAGACACTGAACCCTGCAAAGTAGAATTTATAGAATGAATCACATATCTCTTTTTCTGTCCTTGTTGTTAGAACAATGCAAAAAAATTCTTATCAGAAATGATGCTGTATTTTCTTACTGTACGCAAGTCCTTTTATTTGACATGAACTCTCTTTAATAAATATGTACTTTTTCCAGGCCTTTCTATTTTCTGGCTTAAATAATTCATTTAATTTGATTTCCTAAGATAAAATCCCAACAATTTAAATATGAAGATTTTAATAGCAGAAAGACTTCATGTAGTGCACACCGCCTTCCACAGATCCACAGTCCTGATACACACATGAGTTCTGCAGCCATTAATATTTTAAGCTTATGTGACTCAGAAGTTAAGAATGGGCTCATTTTAAAATCTGGGTTCTTGAAACTGATTTTCTCAGGAAACTCAGGCTCAAAGGCAGAACTTTGGCCATGTTGAAAATGGAATCTACAACTCTCACTGGCAACAAACAGGCTATGACAAATAAGCAAATTTAGGCGGTGACAAATAAGCACATTTTTCACTCCGAAAGCTAAATTTGACATCGGGGGAAAAAAAGCTATATAAGGAATTAGAAATATATTTAGATATAAATAAGGTAACATAAGAAGCAAATATTTATAAGCCCAAAATTAAATCTACCAGGAGTCACAAACATGCAGAAATCTGTGTAAAGTGTATAACACAATGGCAATACATTTTATAAAAGATCAGCAGGAACAACCTCTATTGAAAAAAGACAATATGACTTAGCACTAATCACAACTCATAATTTTAGCCAAAGAATCATGCACGTACAGATGACAAGTTCCATGTAATTAAGTACTTTATAATTTACTACAACAAATTATGCATAAGATTCTCTCTAAAAATATATCCACCTCAGACCTTGCTTGGGACAGCAGTGCGTAGGGAGGCTGTTAATGCAAGTACTGGAAATATCTACTTTCACCTCTAATGATCTTAAATAACTAATCCAAAGGACAGTGTTACCAGGAGGCTCTCAGTATATTTGACTGCCAAGATCTATCCCAGAGATGACTCCCTAAGACCTCTATTCCTTGCAACATATCTTTTAGCAATCATTAAGTCTACATCTGCAAAGATATGCTAAAGCTAAAGGCTTCCTTTTTTCTCTCCTTGCACAGGAAGCAGTATCAAGATTCATTTCTGCTATGGCAGGAAGCCTGCTCTAGCATCATCTCATTATCATTGCTTTCTGTAGCCTTCCAGCCACTACGGGAAAATGTGGTTTGCCCCTTGTCGATCCTGAACCACATCTTATACAAAGAATACACCATATCATTTTGAGCAGTTGCAAACCATTTCATAATTAAATGTAAATCAGCATTACAAAGGTATACAGTGCAGAGTGAAACGGAAACAATAAAGTAACATCAGCAAATTTAGTCTTTTGCAATCATTTGTGGACATTTAAAAATGTTAAAATTGCAAGTGCAATCAAATTTATGTATGTGCTTGCCTGACTGCTGGATGACCAAAGCCACCTTCTTGACCTCATCCTGGGACCGACCATCTGTGACCACAACCAACACCTTAGGGACATTCTTCCTCATGCCACTCTCCCAAGTCAAGATTTTCTCCTTGATAAATGTGAGGGCCTTGCCTACAGAATGAGGCGTGGAACATTTTAGTGTCAACTCAGTGAAAACTACCCCAATGCCACTAGTCACATCCAACTGATAAGAATCTAGACATTAGCATGAGATAATACACTCAGTTCTGCCACTACAAATGCTTGGAGAGTAAAGGTCTACATATACACGTACCTGTTCTTGTGTTTCCTCCTCTGTACCTAATATTCTGGAGGGCCCCAAGGGCTAGAGCCTTGTCATTGTATGTGTTCAGCTTGAACTCAGACTTGACCTCATCGCTGTATTGCACAAATGAAACCTGAAGGAAAATGTGGTTTAGCAGTAAGCATAAGTCATCTCATTTTATATTTCAATCTTCAAATGATTCTCTAGCTGCAGAATAAAGCGGGGGGCGGGGGGTTGTAAAAAGTATCTCAGATCTGATAGAATATTGTAAGCTCTTTATAGCTAATATTATAACACCTACTGCACTTGTCTCATTAAATTCTTTATTTTTCAATCTTCAATGAAATTGTCATAACTGACGTTAATAATGAAAATATACTACATTCATGTTGTGCCTTTCTCTAGGACATAGACAGGGATGAATAAAGCTGGGGAGTGGTGAGGTCCCAGGATTAGACATGAGAACATACCATCTTGAATCCAAATGTTGGTTAAACAGTTGACTCAGCCCACTGCTGCTTCTCACTGACTATATCGGTTCTTTACGGCAATATAAAAATGTCACATGTGTGATTGTAATCATCCCTCATCACAAACTCATCGAAAATGGGATTTAGTGGAAAAAGTACAGGCTTTGTACTCAGGATTCACTGGGTTCAAATTCTAGCTCTGGCATTTAATAGCTATGTGACAATGGATTTTTTTATCAGTAAAATGAGGATAACTATACTTACCTTCCAGGATTGTTTTAAAGACTAATAATCCTGTATACAAAGTAACTGGTACATAGGAGTTAATAAAATATGGTAGCTATTTTTTGTTAGAAATACAAATTCCTAAAAGGATGAAAAAAAGCTTGCTTGTTGAATTAATGTGGTTAAATTAAGAATATAACCACATTAAATTTAGAATATAACTAGGGTGAATTTTTACTCTTCTTGGGTTGGATTAAGGTCCAGAGGATTACTTGAGGATTTGAAATTTAGTATACTACTATTCCATAAAAGATGACATGTTTTGCTGATGAAATTGTTTGTGGTTTATTTCAAAATATCTTATTTTCATGATGCCACAGTGATGATCAAACTGCCAAAATAAAGAAAATTCAGCAAAGAAATGGGAAAGAAAAGGAGGAGAGAATTGTTTTTTAAAAAGATAGTCTCTTGCTTTAAGGAGTCAGTAATTTAGATAGAAGAGTAGACAGAAGACAGCACACAATTAATGACAATATGAACTGATATTTGTTGTAATGCAGCAATATAGACAAAATACTTCAAAAGCACGGAATGGGTAAAGCCATCATGGCACCTTATCAGAGGGGGTGGAATTTTAATTGGGTCTTTTAATTGGGTTAGGGTTACATGATGATTTATTCTTTGAGGCCTCTCTTGGAAATACAAACTTCTCTAAGTACTTCAGTATAACAAATATATTTGGAGTGATTTCAGAGCAAGATAATTGGTAGTTATCATTTTAAAAAAGCAAATGAAATATGCTTTAGCTCAACAACGGACATTCTTCTGGTCAAGGTAATTATCTGCAAAGTAATGATAGAGGCAGCAAGTTCCGCACAATCACTCCAGTCACTGTTTATCACTGATTCTTCTAACTTCACAGAGCATGAAAATCACAAAGAATTTAATATCCAGAACTTTGGATGAACTTCTATAGAAATGTGTCATGGTTGGAAGCAGGAAGTTAAGAGTCAGAATCCCCTAAGTTCTCCAACAGGAATATCATCTAATCAAAGATAAAAACTAATAAACTAATAGAAAAAAACATTTATTTTTCTATTTATTTATCATTTACACCCAATTCCCTCCCAAAAATACATGAATAAAGGAAATAGTGAATAAGAGAAAGTCAAAATTGAGTTTGTATTGAAAAGACTTTTTACTTAAAAAGAGAAGTTCAAAGGAAAGGCAAGACATCACAAATGAGTGGCCACTGGTGGAATGACACTCACCTGAATCCCAGCAGGACTGATTTCATCAAAGCCTCCCACAGTATTAAAGATGAATTTTACAACTTTGTTAAAATTATCATCCCCGATGCTCCAAGAGGCATCAGTCAAGAACACAATATCTGCCTTGGCCCCTTTGCATACTACAAAAAAAAGAAAGCATAAGAAGCCCCAAATCTCATAAATTCTTTCATTTAAATGAAATCACATAATTGAAAATGTAGTAAAACACCTTGCTACGCAAAGTGTGGTTCTGCAGCAACAGCACTGCCTGGGAGCTTGTTAGAAATGTAGAATGTTGGGTCCTACCCCAGACTTCCTGAATCAGTACCAGCAGTAATAAGATGACTCATATGCACAATAAATTTAAGAAGCATTGGACTAACAGATCCACAATACCTGCTCTGGAATTACTCCATTTGTTTAGATCCATTATGCAAAGATACAATCTTACCTCACGGAACTCTTCAAGTAGTTTTGAACAATAAATGAGAGGAGAGGAGAAATCAAATAAAAAGTTTGGAGATTTGGAATATAATTATTAAAGATTGACTTTATGCAAATAGGTCCTTTTTTTTTTTCTTTTTTGAGACAGGGTCTCACTCTGCCTTCAGGCTGGAGTGCATTGGCAGTCTCAGCTCACTGCAACCTCCGCCTACCAGGTTCAAGCGATTCTCCTGCCTGAGCCTCCTGAGTAGCTGGGACAACAGGCACGTGCCACCACACCCAGCTAATTTTTGTATTTTTAGTAGAGATGGGGTTTCACCGTGTTGGCCAGGATGGTCTTGATCCACCTGTCTCGGCCTCCCAAAGTGCTGGGATTACAGGAGTGAGCCATCGCACCTGGCCAAGTCCTTTGTAAAATTTAAATTAAGCCACTAGAATCATATGTAGGAAAGAAGATTTTTATTTGAATATCTAGACTTGGAGGCTAAGAAAAAAATCTAATAACAATTAACAAAATTTTAATTTATAAAAACTTAACATAGAGAAGTTTAACACTGAGAGTGAACCCTAATGTAAACTATGGACTTTGGGTGGTGATGATGTGTCAATGTAGGTTCATTGGTTGTAACAAATGTACCACTCAGATGCGGGATGTTAATAGTCGAGGAGGCTGGGCATGTGGTGGGGAAGGGCAGTCTGTCTCGGAGATGAAAAATCTCTGCATCATGCCTGCAATGTTGCTGTGAACCTAAAACTACTCTAGAAAATAAAGTCTATTTAAAAAGAAAAAATTTATTTTTAAACCAAGATTATTTACTGAATTTGTTTCTATATCTAATTTAAAGGAACCCATTATTATTTTACCCTACAATATTACACTTTTAATTTTTAATTTTACTTATATAATAGGTTTAATAAAGTTGTAACATTCTACATCCTTCTAAGATAAAATAAAAATATATTTAAAATCTGAAATATTTTCTATTAAATGCTGGAAACAGCATATGAGAAAAGAATAATCCAGTAGTTATGTAACTAAAATTTAGCTTGATAAAGTGCTAAAGAATTGCCCTCAAATGCTGAGAGACCAACCTTAAAAAATCAGTATGTCGTTTTACCAGTTCACTGCAAGTTACAATTATTTTCACATTTTGGTGAATGGAAAATTTTTTAGCTTTGTGTAATCCAGGGAGCTTCTCAGGTTGGACACCAGGAATTTTAAAGCCAACAGCCTCAAGGCTTAGGTTGCAAATATAGCCAAAAGGGTTCACAGTGCTTACTGATGCCAGCAGTTAGCAGAAAGAAATGTCCACCATGTAACCATGGATCATGGAAGACCTAAATCTGTAAAACTGAGGAAACAGACTTCTAACTGAAGAGCTGGAATAATTTATGACTGATTTTATTCACACCAAAATGTGCCCAGAGATGGAGAGAAACAAATTACTGGTAATCTTCTCTTTCAGTCTAAAAACTCTTCAGCAGCAATAATAAATCAGAAATGTTCTATATTAATTGTAAATGATGCACATGCAGCATAAATAAGAAGTCTGTAGCTCCCTATCAGCTGAATGTATTGCCTATTTAGCTGTACTTACCATCCCGGGCTGGTGGAATGGTGGGAGGGGGAGGAGGGGTGGGTGGCTCTGTAGGGGCTTCTGTTGGTTTCACAGCTAGAATTTAAAAATAATAATTATAAAAACACACCATGTGCACATTTTATATCCCAGAAAGTAAATTTTAAGAGCGATTTAAATCCTGGATACCAAATCAAGTCATACAAAATGAGACACCACCGTCATCAGTACCAACATACTGGGGATTTTATTCCATCCAAATTTGGTGTCACTGGTAGTCATTCAACATCCACTACAGCTACAGAAAAAAAAAAGATCTAAAGGGAAAATGGAAGGCCTTCAGATAGGGTCAAATGAGCAAAAGTCACTAATATGAATTCACCTTCTCACTGTCAGCGAGAGCCATCTCTCCCTCCTTTAGCCCTTCCTCAAAGTAGCCCCAACTCGATAACAGGGACAACTTGCAATTGCTACAGAAAAAGGTCCTGAACCAGCTTTAGACTCCACATTCAGGAACTCACCATCATCCTATCATTATTGCTACCCTTGGGGAGAGGTACCTGCACAGGATTCACTTAAGTCTTCCTTACCTAGAGCATTCTATTCTAAAGCCTTATGAAGGCTTTCCAGATTTCTCAAAAACTTACTGGTATGTTCTTTAACAGAGACTCCTGGTCCCTCGAGATTTGGTGTCTGCACAAAAACAGTGACACCATAATCAGTGTCTGGTGAAAGGCCAGTGAAGCAGTGACTGGTTTCTGATCCACGCACTGTAATTTCTTGTCCCCTGGTTCCTGATTATGACAACAAAGGAAAATGCCAGTGTCATCATCAATTATATTTCAAGACAATTTTATATATCATTGTTATAAACAAAACGGTATCTTCTTTACTGAAATTTAAAATGTTTCCACTACATGCTACAGATCATTTTTTTCTTTTTTACACACATACCATCTGCAGGGCTTAGTTTTAGCCTGTAGGAGGTGGCTGCCCGGTGAGCTGACCATTTGACACAGAATGTATCCCACCCAATCTGGTGAGTTTTCAGATCTGTTACATTTAAATATACTATAAAATAAAGAAAGAAAGAAAGAGATTCACTTTGTAAATTAAAGCAAAAATATATACTTTTAATCATAACACAATTTTCAAACTTTCACTGTGGCTGAAAAAAAGTTCAAAATCGTAATATGTTTCCTTATAAGAAACATACATGAATCGTATTTCAAAATGTGGTACTGCCAAAATAGACCCCCCTTTCTATCACTGATTTTCAAGGAAAGGAAATTCCACATAGTCCCTCTCACAACTAAGAATTTAAAAAACTTCTCATGGAAAATAATGAAAACAGTTTCTAAAAGGCCATCTGCTAAGTCGTTAAATAGTTATCAAAGCAATGGTGTCATTAAAATATATCTGTGAACTGAATCACTAATCATGATTCAATAATTAAGTCAAATTAAATCAATGGATTTAGGTAATATATATCTTAATATCAAATGTAAAGAAGAACTAAGTAGCATCACAGATCTAATTTTACAGGTCATTCATGGATAAAATGATAATTTCTATAATTTTTACCTTTTAAAATTCAAAATATAATATTTTATGTGAAATACACAAATTTCTCATCGTATACATTTTTATATACTCAATTATAATATTTATGTATTTGGATAAGTATTTTGTCTACCTAGACACAAAATAGCCTGCCTACATAATGCTGAGGAAACATGTATAATTACATTATACATGTATAATTACAGTAAAATTAGAATAGGCTGACCTGGTAATTTCTACTACACTTTTTCTTACAACCATGAAAATATCCATGACTCACATGTAGTGCCTTGATCTGTCAAGGGGACACTGAGTCCAGAATCATATTGAGCATAAACATTCACATCGTAGGTGGTGCTGGGATTGAGATTGTGTAAGGTATATGATGTCATCTCTCCAACAAAGGCTTCCATGGGCTCATTGGAACCTTTATTAACAACCACAAAAATACACAGAAACATGCCATCACTAGCATGAAATTCTGCATAAAATTAAAGATCCTACAGTCAAAGGGAATCATGAACACCATTAATTCCATAGTCCTCATGCACTTACTCACTGGAGCACAAGCTACATTATATGGCAAATATGAAACTATAAGCAGACACTGATTTCTTCACCCTCCTATTTTCAAAGCACAGCACAGCATTTGGAATATAGTAGGTATATAATCAATGTTTCTTTAGTGAATGAATTCTCAAGCTTCTTTCTCAAGCCCTATTTTGCCAACATAGTGTTTTGCCTATAGTAGGTGTTCAATTGACACTTTTTCATTTATTGTAGAGACGATCTAAGAACTTCTTTCTTGGACCTCATTCCACATACTTCGGCTGCTAAAGTCCTTAGTTACCAACCCCACTTTCTTTTTGAAGTTCTTTTTCTATTTCTTACATAGGTTCAAATTTTATTTCCTTTCTCTCGCCTTCTCTCCTTCATGTTTTTTCTAGTTCATACTCTTCCTGGATATATAGAAGATGCCCTAACAAATTTGGTACGAAGAGCATTTTTCTTCCAGTTTCGCTAAGCATATAGACAGAATATTAAAACAAAAATAACAAATAGTTTAATCAAGGTGATATCAATTTAGGTGAAAATTTCAGAGGGGATTTGAAAGCAAGACTGTCATGAATAAACTGCATGGAATCTATGTCCAAAATAAAATAATACCTGGGTATAGTGGGGAAAATACAGAGGTATAATGATGGAATATTCATTATTTCATGATCATATAGGATGTCTGAAGACAGGCATCTTTGATTTGTGCAACTTTATGAACCAAGTCAAACATTTTAATCATGACATTTAATTAGAATCTCATCGATACCTATAATAACAATGGTATTTAAGATAATTGGCTTAAAATGTTATTGCCAAAAACATTGCCTTTGGTGACAGGAAACTTGGTGTGATACCTGAACTCTCAGGAGAACCTAATAGTGGGGGATGAAAGAGAAAACACCCTGATATGCAAATAACCCTCCAAAGCATTTCTATGATGACAAAGGCACTTCCTTACCCACTGGCTTATATACAATTTTATATCCAAGAACTGGAGAGGGTGAAGGGTCCCAGGACACCCTGAATCTTGTATACCATTCGTCAGAGATGTGTATGTTCTGAGGAGGAAGGAGTCCCACTGAAAACAAACATTGGCACACATTACTGACCTTTTATTGGCACACAGGGAGAGCACAGAACTTTAAAAGTATTGGTAGGAAAGCCCAGTGGGAGCAATTTCATAATATTCCATAATGTCTTTATCCAGAAAACAAATAAAAGGCATTGAAGTATTCAAAAACTGCTGAATAGTTTTCCAAATTTAAACAGCAACTCAAATAGACTCAAGAACTAGTGATTTCCAGAACAGCCTTCTCAGAAGGAAGCAGTATCCAGAGCTGAAACGTTCTATGACTCAGGATTATAGAAAATAAAAGAGATCTCAAACCATTTTTAGAATGTCATAGATTACAGATTGTTAGAAACAGAAAGCAATTTAGAGACTATCTAGTCCAACCACTTCATCAAATACATAAGATATTATTTGCCCAAAACCACACAGCTACCTAATAATGCTTTTTCCCTATACCTCTCCATCCTCCACCAGCATTACCTAGAATGCTTCCAGAGATACTGCCTCCAAGCCCACAACTTATAAAATCAATACTGTTCAGGTAACATGTTAAGTAGTTGCTGAGTTTACTATTCACAGCATTACGCAAATAACAATTCAACTTGAAAAACATTTTTTTCATAAGAGAAACAAAATATGACTTTGGCCCTTCCTGGAAAATACAAGATCTAGTTTTTAAAAATCCATTTTGATAAGCATGAAATTCTGAAATATGCCATTTTCCCCAGGAAAGTCCCAAAATACAGTCTAAAATCTGAAAAAATTTAAAAAGTGAGGTTGTTAAAATCATCTTGAGTCATGTGAGTCTCCATTGACTCAGTCCTGTAGACAACAATATCAATAAATAGAGATTCTTGACCTTGAGAGACTGAGCTGAGTCAACTCTAGTCCTGCTTTTCCCTTAGGAGCTTTCAAATGTCACCTCTTTAAATTATGTAATATTGTCAAGATCATTTAAGCTCAAAAAGACTTTTGGCAAGTGACTGCAGAAAGAAACCTGAAGTCATGCTACTTAAGTAGATTTTTGGTGAATGAAGTATAAAAGAGCAATGCCAGTATCTACCAGTAACAAAACTCAGATCTAGAGTTCATCCTACCTTTGTGCTAAACTAGTGACTCTCAGCCATTGCTGCACATTAATGAGAACATCAGCAGGTCCAGCCCACACCTCACACAGTTACATCAGTATCTCTGGGAGTGGAACCCAGGCATAAGTATTTTTAAAGCTCCTCAGGTGACTGTAGCAAGCAACCACCTTAGAGAATTTTTAAACCCTAAGAAATTACCACCAGTATAGTGTAAAAATGGGTCTGAATGTTGATAATTCTATGTAAATTGCTTAGTACAATAAAAAATACATTTTTCTTTTTAGAAAAAGCTAAATTTGTACACAGAAAACGATTGCTGATAATCTCACTTCTGTATTTATGACTTAAGATTCAATCACAATGGAATATTTCTTACTGATACTATATTGACTTAACAATTATAACCTTAACTGACACCATACCAATTGAAACATTATTCAGAGAATATGCAGTGGTTTTCCAAAGAAGAACTAGAACTATCTTAAGCAAATAAAAATATGTAGATGGTCTTCTTTTTCTTCACTTAGTGAACCATTAAAAAGTTAAAAACAAATTCCTTTCACATGTCATCATTTTGACAAAATTTAATGTCTAATACAAATAATACCATATTAGTGTGGTATTTGAGATATACTGGTAAAGATAAAATTTTGAGGTTTTAAAAGGTAAAAAAGCAACATTAAGATCTTAACAATTTCAAAGCAGAAACAAAAAGGGGGAGTACAAAACACTTACCAGTTCTTCCATTTCCTGTTAGATGGCCACCATCTCCATCTTCATAAACAGCAATAACAGTAATTTTATATGGAGTGTCAGGTTGCAGCGGCTGCAGTATTACATTATTTCTTCTGCCTGGGACTGTGGTCTATAAAGGAAGTTAAATTATAAATGTACTACCATCTAGAAGACTTCCAGATCAAAAGATAATACTGTTTTATGTATTCCCATAAACAGTAATAGTAGTTTTTTCACATTTTATTTTTGCTGCACAATGCTCATGACAAGAAAAACTATCTTCACTTCTTCTCTGCAGCATAGGAGAGTGGTTTTAGAGTCAGACAAATCTGGGTTCAAACCCCAGATCAGCCACTTAACAGCCATGTGACTTAACATCTCTGAAGAAAACTGTATTAAAAGCAATGCCATGTACAGCACTTCAGAACACCTTACTGAGTACTCCAGCACTCAGTAGTAAGTTTGTTTCCTTCACATCTCATCATCACATGTTCTGCTTTCATGTACAAATATGTACCCAGTACCCACTGCGGGCCAGGCACAGTGGGACAGGTATTAGCTACTGAGAATCCACTGGTGAGCAAAAATTGACGAAGTTTCTGGCCTCAAAAATATCAGTTTGGCTGATAATAGTTAGCTGAAAAAGATGGGAATACATTCAACTACCTCTTCAAAGAAGAAATGAACCAGACATCTCAATCTTTCTAAGCCTATGTTTTGTTTCTACAAACAACATGGATAAGGTATGCCAGTGAATCCTGGCCTGGAGTCCTATAACTACAAATGATAAATTGTATTCTTAATGTTTTCAGAAAGTAAAGGGAAGTTACTTATTTGCCCATGGCAAGGTTGCACAAACACTAACCATGAGTTTCTCTGCTTTGGCAAACTAACTATAGTAGTACTGTTTATCACATTTTGATCAGAAACTATAAATGGTAGTTACATGTGTTTCTTATTAATAAAAGTAGGGACTTGAATTAAAGGTTACTATATCAAGTTCCAGTAGATGAAATATTTCATCACATGGGGCTCAGGGAAGGAAAATTATCTAAGACAATCTATGTGGTAAAAAGATGGCAAACCACAGACCTAATTTACAATTAACATCTTGTGCAATATTCTGCAAGCGTATCGCAGCAATTAATCACTAAATTTCAAATAAAGTAGTTTTTCCATTTTTCCACTCATAACAAATAGATGTGCATAGTGAGGGCTATGAGGAAGCTGCCAGAAACTTGAATCTGGTTCTGGAAAGACAAACTATGACACTCAAAAAGTTTGAAGCTAATAGGAGAGTATGTATATTACAAAACTAATGTGTACCACAAAATGTTAAGCTTAAAGAAAAGAGAGATCAATTAACACTGGAATATTTAAGGGAGACCTTGTAGAGGAATTAGATTTGAGAAAAGGGTAAGATTTGGATAAATACACTATTTGAATATTAACTTAGACATTCCAGAATGATAGGTATCATATTTCACTAAACTTGGTTCCTGTGGTGTCATTAGGTGGTTAGAAATGTTCAGTTAATCATGCGATAAGACAGTTTTCCTATCTATCTTTAGAATAAAAATGAACCCAAAGACAGTGCTTCTCTGTGGTATGGGAGGCCAGAAAGACTAAGCACCTTTGAGTGATCCCAAAGTCATGTCAGAGAAAAATCATAAAGTGTGACTATCAAGGACTCAACTGTACTCACAGCATACCTCTAAAGAAGTTTAACTTCACCGTCCATTCAGCTAAGATGATAAAATGTGCCAATAAATGAGTATTAGACTTACATATTCATCAATTGGATCACCAACAGTGGGAGAATAGATGATCCTGTACTGCTGAACTGGCCCATCAGCATGATCCCAGGCTACCGAAAGGCTATTGGTTGTTTCACCAAACACTCTCAGGTTCCTTGGTCCACTCCGTGGTACTAAATAAATAAAATACAATAGAGTTTGTTGTCTGCCTGTGAGCATTACCTAGGCCAGATTAAGGAGGTTGCTTGCATGTGTTTCATTCACCATTCACTCGGATGTTTCCTCCCATATAATAAAATACACGTTTATGGTTTTAACGTGAAATCATAAACAGTGTATTTCAGAGCTATGGTTACATGCTGAACTTTCAGTGACCTAGAGCTAGCTTTGAAAGGTAGACTAGGCCAGGCGCAGTGGCTCACGCCTGTAATCCCAGCACTTTTGGAGGACGAGGTGGGTGGATCACGAGATCAGGAGATCGAGACCATCCTGGCTAACCCGGTGAAACCCCGTCTCTACCAAAAACACAAAAAATCAGCCGGGCTTTGTGGTAGGCGCCTGTAGTCCCAGCTACTTGGCAGGAGAATGGAGTGAACCCAGGAGGCGGAGGTTGCAGTGAGTCTAGATCGCACCACTGCACTCCAGCCTGGGCGACAGATAAAAAGAAAGGTACACTAGGAAAAAGGAGAATTATTTTAACCACTATAACCATGTCTATTCGATAAAACATAATGACTAAACCCTCACATTTCCAAAGTCCCCATTTGGTAAGAAGACTCACTGCAGACTAGAAAGAGGGAAAAAAGGAAGATGCAGGGCAGAAGAGGAGAAAAAGGGGAAAAAACCCCTCCTTAACTCATGTCCCAAATGAGAACACGAACAGATGAAGTTCACGTCACACAAACAACAGTCACGGACCCAGTGTTTTCGCCTGGAATGTGAAGGTAGGGGATCCCAGGCAGAAAGCACCCATCTCTCACCACCCCGCTCCCACCCGTCACTCAATCAGAGAAGCCCTGCCTATCTAGCTACAAGGGAATGGAATGGAATGGAGAAAGGATTTCTGCCTCACGCGTTCGGCCCTGGGCAGGGCTGGGATTTCCCTCTCCATCTGAGTATAGAGCCACAAGGTTCACGGAATAGAGTGTGTCCGGAATCAGCCGCTCCAGATGCACCATGCGTGTGTTTCCTGGCACCACTATCTGCAGGGGAGGAAATGCCAAATTCTGCCTGACAACTCAAATGCTTACCAAGTCTTCAGTTAGTCATCACAATAGTATTTATAATAAAATGTTGAGCCCAGCCACATCAGAAGCCAACTGTGCTTCTCCACGAGATCCACCCAGACCATATCACTAAACAAAATTTGTCCTCAGAAATTCCCTTTCCAAAAAAAGTGACCTCATCCTTGACCCTTAGTAGCTTCAGTTACCTCCATTTATATTTATTATAAAGATTCTCAAATATAACATGCAAGGCTCATGATATTTCCTCAAAAAACATCCTGCATGTTAAATACACACAAGAATGGGGACTCTTACTTGTGGTGGGGGAGATTTTGTGTTGAAATAGAGACTCCCTGCAATGCATACAGGTAAAGTTGTCTTAATATGTTCTACCATACATGGACATGAAAATCAATGTTCTTATCAAATGCATATATTATTTATCATTTGTTTATCTTCATCAACATTGTTTATTTTTGCAAAGACTTATAAGTTAAATTAGTTTATACATTTACTTTCCCATAGGTATTCTGATACTATGCTTATTGAAATTAGCAATTTCTGATTTCTAAATTGTTAGCCTACTTACAAAACTGAATAATGTTATGAATTAAAGATAGATTGGGCAATTTGTAAGAACTAGTGAAGATAAATTTTAAAATATTTTCATAACAAAGACATATTGACAAGGTCTAGCAATTATTTACATTTATTACTGGGTTTTTAACCTATCCAACTAATTCACATTTTCCCAAAATTCTTTTTATTCTTACTAATCCTATAATTAATACACCTACCTCAAGTCATCAAAAACAATAATTTAAGTATTATACACCGGCATGTTTGTGGTTTGTGTTCTCCCAGGTTATCAAACATGACACAAACATGTGACTACATTCATCAGGAAATGCAGTTTCCATGACAAAATTACTTACAGATTCTGAGGGTCTTGTGCCATCCACAGGGGAATACACAACGCGATACTGCAGCACAGGTCCTGGTGCAGGGTCCCAGCGAACATCGAGGCTGTTAGGTGTAGGATTGTATACTTGGACATTTCTTGCCAGTCCTCTCATCACTGAGGAAATGAAGGCCAACATCTATTTCTTACGTCTGTTTATTTATCTCAAGTTTTTGTATCACTTTTCCAGAACCTACATTCTGTAACAGGACAAAATGCTATCTTCTTTATATTTCTAATTACCTACACACAAAGGCAGATTAAAACTCTCCAAATCCAAATTTAGTTAAAGTTAGCAAGCATGGCCTTTGTCTATAAGGAAGCAACATTGTATTCAATTAAAAACAAGTTAATAAAAGTGGTGGAACTGGATTGGCCATAAAGGGTCATGGGATAGAGAAAAGAAATAGGAAAAGTAGTTTCAGTTTTCCAATATAGGTAATGGAGAGAGAAAGAAGAGACATTTTTTAAGAGTCTGCCTTCTAAGTAAAATCTGACAACAGCCATTAAGCTCATCTGATTCGGTCAGCTAGTTACAACCATTCATTACTTCTTCATTTAACAATTGCTACTCAATATCTTTGTGATTAACAGAAAAGGTAAAAGGAGAGAAAAATAAGATATACCCAGTTCTCAATTAAGTGCCCCAATAGGAACTTAGAAAAACCTACCAATTGAATTGATGTACTAATTCCAAACTCTAATTTAACCAATAACATCATCTTCCTAGACCACTAATCTTTTACCAAAAGAAGACATCTATGCTTGGTTCCTTTTAACCATCAGCAAGTATATTTTTAAAGCCAAAGAAGTATTTCTAAATCTGCACAAAAGCCTTTAAGCAATACTAAAAAAAAAAAAAAAAAAAAACACAGTAAAACCACTATAAATGGCTTTCTAAATGAAAGCATACAGATTTTAAGATCAAAAAAGCACTTCAACAAACAAACCAAAGACATACGAAATTAAGTAATGTGCCGAACAGATTTCAACAATTTGCACTATGAAAGCCAATTATAAACAGTCCTTCACAACAATTTATAAAGCATAAAGCAAAGCTCGATGAATTTTTGTCAATGAAAGAGATTAAGCAAATCATCAGTATACTGATGATTATATGCACTTTTACAAATCCTAAAATTATCATTTCAAAAGAAGATGCTATTATAGATTTGTTATTTCACAAAATGTTAACATTTGGTGTTAGGAAGGTAAACTATGGCTAATTTTTATGTTTTTAATTCTATCACACCAAATTTTCCTTATCCTCTTTAATGGGCCTTTATGGCCTTTATAATGAAAAGCAACATTTATGATGAAAAATTAATTTTTTGGCCTTATTACTTACATGTCCTTCCAGTATCTGATGTGCGTCCCCCATCACCTTCAGTATAAACGGGAACTACCGTCACAGTGTACGAAGTATCTGGCTGGAGATTCCTAAGAATGGCATAATTGGTATTCCCGGGGATTGGAACCTAAATATTTTAATAAAACATAAAGCACTGACTTGAAAAATCTGTGAAAGAAATAATAATTCAAATAATACAATACCAACTCAAGACCAAGTCAAGAAGCAGGTTCTGTAATATTAGGATGTAATAATGTGCCCCCACGTGACCTGTTACAAGAGGTTACATATTTCCCTATACCCCTCCAACCACCCAATACTCCCCATTTAGAACTTCCCAGAATGGCTACTTCTTCCCCTGACCAGGCGGAAGAATCCTGGCCCCAATCCCTGTTACCCAGGCTCTGAGGCATCAACTATTTACCCTCTATCAAGTCTTATTAAATGAATATGAAATTCTTCACTCTAAAGTAAACTGGTTAACTCCTTCAGTTCCACTTTTAAATCACTCAGCTACCATTTAAACAAATTAGCATTTTTTACTACAAGAAATAATTACCAGTTCCTCTGGACCATCTGCTGCTGGTGCATAGAAGAGCTTGTACTGACGAGGATTTCCCTCTGCATGGTCCCAGCGGACATTCAAGGTGCTGGTAGAAGGGTCATACACTCTTAGGTTCCTAACAGTGTTTAGAGGTTCTGAAATGCACAGAAATCCCATGACAGTATAGTGCTAACAATCAAGTACACATGAAACACAGATTCACTGATATCTCCCAGGCACCCTAGAACACAGCAGGCACCACACAAACATTTGTTGAAGTAGTGAATAAATGACACATACTGTGTCTGTGTCGGTCTGATGCATATGTCTCATCTATCCACATGACATTTTTGTCTTAGAGCACCTTTCTATCCTAGAAAGTAACATCTTTCTCCACAAATAGAGACAAATAATTCCAAGCAAGGATGTTAAAAACTATTAATATGGCCAGGCACAGTGGCTCATGCCTGTAATCCCAGCACTTTGGGAGGCCGGGGCAGGCAGATCACTTGAGGTCAGGAGTTCGAGACCAGCTTGACCAACATGGTGAAACTCCATCTCTATCAAAAATATAAAAAATTAGCCAGGTGTGGTGGTGGGTGCCTGTAATCCCAGCTATTCGGGAGCCTGAGACAGGAGAATCGCTTGAACCCGGGAGGCGGAGGTTGCAGTTAGCCAAGATCATGCCACTGCACTCCAGCCTGGGCAACACAGCGAGACTCCATCTCAAAAAAAATAAATAAATAAACTATTAATATTCTTTGTACATGAATTTTTAAATATTAGTAAAACTTTGTGTCACCCCAGTGTTTCCAGATAAAGAGATGATTCCATTCTAATAGTAGCTATTAAAGAAGCTATAGGAACTCAGGTTTCACTTACTGGTCTTGCCTCTTCCCGTCATCCGACCTCCTTCACCATCAGGATACAGAGAGGATACGGTGATAGTGTAAGGAGTGTCTGGCTTCAGTTTCTGCAGGACCACACTGTTCTGCCGTCCTCCTATTGTGGTCTTGAGTAAAAAGGTCTTGGTAAGTGTTAGCCTTGCTCTCTCCATCTCACTAATCTGTTAGAAAAAGCTCTTTCTACAGGGAAGCTGTTTGAGACCCTTGTCCAGTTCTAGAATTACGAACCACAGCAAAGGTTTAAAATACATCTTATGGTATAATTTTAAATGTAAAATATGCACCTCAAATCATAAAAAGAATTCCAAGCTTTAAACTGGTGACCCCAAAAAGATATTTCAACTTGCTAGCCACCAGCACTGCAAAATTTCATCCAAAACACATTTCACAGAACTTCAAAAAAAAAGAAAAAGGCATTAATCATAAATGAGCTACAAAGAGACTTTAAGATACCAAAGAATTGCATAATTTTAGAGGCTCCACACCACTTAATATTATTCTTACTTTTTTAACAGATGTTTTTATTTGCTTTACAAACACATTAAAATGATTCAGCATACAGTATAAAGCTCTTGGTGTTTCCCCCAAGAACACTGTCACTCTAACAGCCTTAGTTGTGTTAACAACATGACCAGACCTTTTGCTAGGCCACACTCGATCAGGGGTTTCCAGTTGTCTCCATCATACCAGCCCTGTGGTATGAAGCTTTTCAATTTACTCTAATTATGAAGCTTAAAGTTTTTATTCGTTACTTAAGGCCATCTAGCTATCTTGTTGAAAGAAAATTTGTACAATTTATTAACAGTCTACCGAATTCAGATGTTTATGTCATACTAATTAAAATCGCATGAAAATGGCACACTGCCCAAAATGAGTGCACATGTAGATGGCTGGATGTGCTAGAAGAAACCAGATGTTTCCAACTTAGCACCCATCCACTCAAGTAGTCTGAATTCCAAAAAAAAACCCAGTGAATCACGGTCATCATCCTCAATATGGACAAACTGAACTACCATGGCTAATTTTAACAAATTTCATATTTGAGGTTATGAGAGAAAAGTATCAATAACAGTATAAGCCATTTTGATAAAAACCTGATGCATAACAAATCTGAAAGACTACTTAGGAGAACTGCCCTTATGAGTAAGCAGAGGGGCATCTACCTACCTCTCCCATCCAGCTCCCCAAAATAATTCTAGCATCAGTTATTCATCATTGTCATGATTTCATGGACTAGCATTAAAATCCAAGTACCCCAAAGACTAACAAAGCTTAAGGGTTTCATACTTTCCAGAGGATAAGTTTATGAGACTCTTTATGATAACAAACAGCTGGAAGACAGTAAAAGAGACTCAGGAGAAGCAGCTGGAACATCAATGTTCCCAAGATAGGAAATGCTAAGAACAAACTTCTCCTGACTTGTAGTTTTACCAAAATCTGGCATGCCTTAGAAAAAAAAGAAGTTCCGTTTCTGAAATTAATATATCAGTCCATCTAATTTGTCTTATCTTATTTTCATATAAAAATCTATTGATTACAGTTGATATTAAGTTTATTAATGATAATCTATTTACCTAAAACAAACAAATAGTCCAAATGCATCATACTACCTAAGACTGGAGCTATAAAAGCCTCAAAAGACCAACTCAAAGTCACACTAGAGATGGGAAGGTTTCTGATTCGGCTAAGCTTACTAACTAGGTACTATCAGAGATCTTTAACCACAAACCTTAGATTAATGCCAACCTGTACCTTGGCTAATACCTCTAAACTGATAAGAGATATGACCCATTTGCTTGAGCTTGGCAAGTCAGATGATTAAAGGTTAATAACACATGTGTCTCTAAGGCCATATATAAAAATATTATAGCCAAAAAAGTCAATAAAACTCTGTACCTCATCAAAACTGGAGATTTATTTTGAAATAAATCAGAAAACATAATCATACCTATGTAAAAATCATGGGGCTTCCTGACCTAGGATAATACATGCAGTTCTAATTATATAGTTTACAAAAGGCAAAGTTGTAGAAAGCCCCAAACCACAGAACTAAAGTAAGGGAGGTAAAATGGAAAAAGGTTCTATTAAATAATGAAAGACTCGGAAGAGAAAGAGGATGAAGACTGAGTTTACAGTCCTATCATCTTTCTTGGGGACCTCCATTTGGATAACAGAAAAATGAAAAACAGTGTAAATTAGGTTAACAGGCTTCCATACCTAGAAACACCAGATCTAGAAGATAGCCTATGACATGCAAAAAAAACAGGGAAAAAATCAGATAAATAGAAACTAAACATTATAGGTAAGTTTAGCAAACTTTCAGCACTTGATTAAGTTAGAGAGAGGAATGGAAGGTCGACACAGATACAAAAACTATCTGGATATCTTCGTGGATAATCTAGCACTAATAGTTTTTAAAGGAACTATGGATGCATTGAGGCACATGCCTCATGCTTTGGGGCTATGAGGAAGAGCAACTATCATCTCTCATGAGAACATCCATTGAGTCTCCATGATGGCACTCCACGTGGAGTGCCAGCTAAAGAGTCAGATGATCCATCCAATGCAATAAATCTTAATATCCCTTAAAAAGTAAGTATGACTAACTAAACACTGAGGGGGAAAAAGAGTTTGAAAAGAAATGGGTAGAATTTATCCAAGTTATAATTTTTATTTAAAAATTACCGTTTGCTCATTGCCTTCCCCTGTGGAAGGCTGATAAGTGATCCTATATTTCTGCACACGACCACTAGCAGGATCCCACTTAACAGTCAAGCTGTTAGATGTTGCATTGTACACTTGAAGGTTTCGTGGGCCACTTTTGGGAGCTGAAAGAAGGTTGTTGAAAAACAAAGTAAGCAGACAGAACAATGCCTCCCCCTAAAATATATACAGCTCCCAAGGCAACCAGAGAATTCTATGCCTCTGGGTTTATAATTAAATTTGACCCTCTAATAAAAATGGTTATTGATTCTTAAATGACTCCTTAGTATGGACTTTCATTTTGTTTCTGTCCCCACAAACATGACATGTAGAAGTTCCAACTTCCAATATGATGGTATTTAAAGATGGGGCCCTTGGGTGATAATTAGGGTTAGATTAGGTCATGAGGGTGGGGCTGCCATAATGGGATTAGTCTGTGTAAGAAGAGACATGAGAGAGCTTATTCTCTCTCTCTCCACCATGTGAGAGAGAAAGTGAGAGAGACTGAGAAAGGGCTGGCTAGCTATAAGCCGGGAGGAAAGCCATCATCCAGAAACGAATTGAATAGCACCTTGGTCTTGGACTTCTCAGCCTCCAGAATTGTGAGAATATAAATTTCTGTTATTTATGCAGTCCAGTCTAATCTTTTGTGATGGCACCCCAAGCTGATCAATACACTCCAAAACAAGTAGTAGCAAAGCAAAGTTTTTCAAGAAAAGCCTACTTAAAAGAGTTCTCAATGAACATCTTAGGATTTAAAAGCAGATAACCTATTTATAATGTATTTTATGGTACTTTTCATTCATACATTCATTCATTATTTGTTCATTCAAACAATTCAGCAAATTAAATTCTTACCTTGTGTTGTTAAGATAGGCACTAAAAGAAAACAGAATTTGGGGACACATTACTAATATAGCTGTAGCCCTATTTTTTAAAAATTAACTTTAAAATATCAATGTCCTATTTGAAAGCTAAACACCTACATGTGCGCTCACTGCCAATCAGGTCATCACTTTCTGACTCATCAGGATAGATGGCAGTAATGGAAACTTCATAGACGGTGTTGGGATTCAGGTTTTCGAACATCAAACTATTTTCATCTCCATTTAAGATGGTCTTGGAGAAAGAGGACAAAAACATATCCACGCAAAAATAAGTCTCCACTTACATCATACACACTCAATGTCAGTTTGTTTGCATTATTTAGCCAGATGTTCCTCCTGCTCTGATGCATGTCATGAGCTCAAATGTCAATAAATGCTTATTGACAACAAAAGTAATACTTCTTTAAAGTAAGCTTCCTTACAAATTAAATGGGACATGAAAGACAAAGAGAAAGATAAAGAGAGTTAACTACCTCCATCTTATCTGAGCTTCCAAAAGGTGCCCAAGTTATTCTGTAGAGAGACACATCTGAAGCTCCATGATCCCAGGTCCCTCTGAAACCCTCTGATGTTACTTCAGTAATCCTTAGGTTTGTTGGAGCTGGCACGGGTCCTATCATGAGAAAAGGCAAGCAGACTAAGTTTTTGAATGTGAGCTACAAATGCAATTTAATATAATAAAACTTCCTTGTTTTATATTAATGGACATCTGAAAACTGATTGAATACATTGCTTAGAACCAAATATTTTACCAATTCCTAGAGCTCTGAAAACTGCAAGCATTCTGTGGATATAATACGTTATTAAGGATATTCTATTTAAATGATGATTTTTTTTAAGATATCATTTGGTACCTTTCTCCAACTTTTTAAGAATCAAATCAACACCATGGACTCTTTTACACAGCAATACACAATACACAAAGCACAAACTCGGCCTACATATCAGAGTTAATGGACCTTCTCCAGTCTATCAATAACCCCAGAGACATACATAGACTCCAGGTTAAGAAGTCCTTCTTAACTAAGAATGTCATAAACTAGGTATGCTAACATATTATACATTAAAGATGATTCTCAAGGAAATAGTTATTCATTTATTGTTCATAATTTGTTGTTCTGATACCCAAAGGAAATAGTTTCATTTTTATTTTTAAAAACCACACATACCACTGCAGTTTAAAAATGAGAATGTCTGTCTAGCTGTAAACAACACTGAAGTATTGCACTCTGACAATTGATTAGAACATACATACATACATACTGCTACACATACAGTGAATTCCAATCTAGGAGTATTGTCACAGGAAAGGAACTCTGAGCATGTTACGATCCAGGTAACACACACACGTAGCTTCTTCCTGTAGATCACCAACCTTAAACATGATATGAAACAGAACATGCTGACCCTGTTCAGACAACTGAACACCTGGAGACCCAAATGACTGCTGAAATCCCCTTTCACAGCCCCTCCATTGACCAGGTCCTCTGGCTGTTTTGCAGCACAAGCATTTTTTATGTCTACCACCATTCCTGAGCTTTCATTGTCACTTATTTCTCTCTTTATTTGGTAATCAAAGCTAATTACACAAAACACAGAGCCATTAAAAATTTGTTCTAATAATTACAATGAAAAGGCCCATTGAGATAAAGAGAGTGGTACTATTTCCACCAGCACAACTGCAAAACAAAGCAGCTATTAAGAATGTACTTTAAACGTATCTGAAAATTATTTGGAAATCTTAAGGTTTGAAAATATATATTAAAAATATTAATCTACTATACTAAATTGCCTGTCTCACTAGCCTTTCTTCCTGACTTCCTTTTCTGTTCACTACACCTGTTATGTTATTTTTATGCAAAGCTGTCAGTCTACTGATGCATATGCATCAATTCTCAGCTCCAGCTATGACCCTTACCAGGTAAGATCTTAAGCCAAGAAAACAAATGAAATTGCTAAGAGATCTAAAATGGTAAGAAAATAGCAGAGTCAAAAAGGGAGAAGTAGATATGTCTGAAGTTAAGAAGCAGGTTATGGTCAGGCGCAGTGGCTCAAGCCTGTAATCCCAGCACTTTGGGAGGCTGAGGCAGGCAGATCACGAGGTCAGGAGATCGAGACCATCCTGGCTAACACGGTGAAACCCCATCTCTACTAAAAATACAAAAAATTAGCCGGGCAGGTGCGGTGGCGGGTGCCTGTAGTCCCAGCTACTCGGGAGGCTGAGGCAGGAGAATGTCGTGAACCTGGGAGGTGGAGCTCGCAGTGAGCCTAAATCAGGCCACTGCACTTCAGCCTGGGCAACAGGGTGAGACTCTGTCTCAAAAAAAAAAAAAAAGCAGGTTATAACATTTGACAAGATGCCCTAATTAGGTATAGGCAGCTAGGCACTAAAAAACATGCTATTGAGCCTTTAATGAGGAATTTTCTGGAAAGGAGGAAAAGGTTCCAGACTATAGTATCAGTCCCATCAATAGATTACAGGATGTGGCTGGGCAAGTTGCTTAAATTCTCTAGACCTGTGCTGTCCACTATGGAAACCACTAGCCACATGTAGTTGGCTATTGAGCACTTAAAATGTAGCTAGTCTGAATTGAGATGTGCTCTAAGTGTAAAATACACACTGGATTTTGAAGACCTGTTACAGAAAAAAGGTAAAATGCCTTGTGAATAATTATTGTACCATATAATTATAGCTAATGAAATTATAATGGATATATTTGGATCTACTGGGTTAAATAAAACATTATCAAAATTAATTTCATCCATCTATTTTTGCCTTATTTAATATGGACACCAGAAAATTTAAAACTACATATACAGCTCCCATTATTTTTGTTTGGAACACTGCTGGCTCTAGGCCTTAATGTTTCCTTACTGCTATTTGCATTATGTAATGGGCTGAGCACTGGATTAAGTTATTATGTGCCAGGCACTGGAGATACAAAGTTGAGCAAAATGTCTCTTCCTTCATTAGGAGAGAGCAAGGGGGAAGTAGAATCCATAGCAAAAGACCAACAGGCAATCATGATTGCATTAAATACTATGGAGACACCACAAGAGGGAGAGGAACGGACATCTCTAGGAGCTGCAGGAAGCAGGGTCTGGGCAGGCTGCCTGTCTCCCCCCGCACTCCACTCACAGTGCAGTCACCCCTTCCTCTGAAATCTTGACAGCACACAATCTCAGTGCCACCTGATCTTCTTTCCATGATCTCATGTATTCTCGATTAATTTTTTTCTTATCTCCACAACTAAATCATGAACCAGTGAGGGCAAAGACGCTTATATTTTGTTACCCTTGATAACACTTCACGTATAGTAAGATACTCCAAAAAATTTTATAAATAAAGCATCTTTTCCAAAGCAAATGTGCAACATATGTCAAGAAAATTTGCCCACCCCACTACACATACATGCACACACATACACAGGTGCACATCAAGTAGTTGTAGTTCGAAGATAAATTAATGACAGTGGCTGCTGGAAAGTATCATAAAAGGAATGGATGCAAAGATAGAAGGTGGGACACCTTGTTCCAAAGAAAGTAAGTGAAAAACAATCTATGAATCCAAGTATTATTAAATGTCAGCAAAGGTAGTAGCATTAAGAAACAAAATGACCCAGTAAATTGAGTTACACATGCATGTAAAGTGTTATTTCCCATTATCAATGGAGCAGGAGCACAACTCACGGGTAGTTTCTTGAGCAGTCACTGGAGGAGACTCCCCCTCATCATGTACTGCAGAAACGCTGACTGTGTACAGGGTCTGTGAGAAGAGGTCTTTGAGGGAAGTGCTGGTCTCTGATCTGTCCACCTCTACCTATAACAGTAACAGAGCAGTGGAACTACTTTTACAAAGGGTTTACTTTTGATATCTCTCTGTTGTTTATGTACCTGTCAGCATAAGAATATAAAATCTGTGATCAGAAAAGAATAGTGTTTTCCAATTTACATGAGAATCCAGAAACGGGATACAGTTTAAATATTTCCAAACTGGAAAAAAAAAATGTATGTACTAGACCATACTGCACATGATTGTCTAGAAAATAATGACTGCCTATGTATTCAAACAACCTAATCATTTTTCCACCTGTTTCCCTTTATATCACTGCATTATTTGTTTCAGCAGTGGTCTCTTATGCACTGCATTATTTCATTTGCTATGCACAGAACCTTGTGAGATCCACTTGCCATTGTACCCCTTTTAAATGAAAATGCAGAATGAAATAAATGTGTGCACCTGTATAAAGTAGCTTTTGTATAATCCACACATGACCAGCAGAACCAGTAACTGAGTGCTTAGAGAAATGACTCCTATGTTCCAAAAATGCCTCTGAGATTCTGACATTAACACTCCCTCAAGCACACACAAGTTTTGCTGGTTCGTGAAGCCCTTCTAATTTGCATAACTTTGAATACAGTCATCATGGAACTCCCAAAAGAATACTCCCAAAAGGACACCCCTCTAACAATATACTCCTCCTTTCTCTGTGTCTCTGTGTATACTCCTCCCTTCTCTAGTGTCCTATCTTCCTGTTATCTGACAAACTCCTCCTCTTCATTGCTGCATCCTCTTGCTACCTCTTATTTTTAGAAACATTGTGACATTTTCTAGTAATTCTTAGAATAGGGAGCCATATAAGGAATCTGGATGAGGAGGAAATACCATTTAGATTTGATAACTTTGTATCTACCAAGGGATGATGTTTTTGAGATTAATATCACACAGCAAAACATTTCTGTTTTGATAAGACAGTCCAATATATTATTGATTTTCAAAAACTGCTTTATTAATATCACAAGTTTTCAACACTGTGCTAACAAAGTGACAAGTATTCAAAACATGCTATCATCCATACTTGATAAAGCTCTTTTTTAAAACCTACTAGGAAAACAAATATTGTCATATCTACTATCATCTTCAACCTACCTCTTTGACATCCTCTTCCGGTGTTTTGTATCGAACAATATATTTACGCACTTTTCCAGGCACAGGTTCCCAAAAGACATTCATACTGCTATGAGTCACATCTCTGAGTTTCAGATCCTGAGGTCTGGGTAAAGGCACTAGAGAGGCACGAGATATTAAATCCAGATGTGCTTCTCAACCACAAAGCTCTAAAGCATCCACATAAGCTTTCAAGAAGTTGTTTGGGAAAATTTAAAGGTGTTTGGCAAAATAACTGAAACAAATAGCTATGATGATAAAAGTACCATGATTCTATCAGATAGACTGAATTCTTCTTAAGAAGGTTTTCCAAAAATAGAATATATTCAATTTTCTGTTATCACAAGGTTATTATAAGAGTAATTATATATTACTCTTCTTCCACACTATTTAAACAATCTCTTGCTGCTCAATCCCATAATAAATCATAATTCATCATAATTATACAGCTCATGTTTCTTTTTCAGATATTTAACTCAATTAAGACAGAAAACTAAATCAATAGAGTTATGCACCCTTAAGAATGTGACAGAAAAAAAAGTTACAGAGTGAAGAATGAAGATGAGCCAACATTAAGCATCCAATAAGCTTATATGAAAACCCAGACACCTAAATTGTTAGAAGAAAATCCAAATGATAAATGCTTACCAAATCTAACATAACTTTCCATTAAAAAAGGGGGAAGGAGAATAAGGAATGAGGAGATTTTCTCCGGTAATATGAGATGTATTTTGCTCTTTCCAGCTGCCCATTTGACTAGTTTAACTTGTAGAGACTCTTTCTGGCTCTCACTCTGACTCTACGTCTGTCTTCCTAACTCTCTAGCTCCACTTCCACATTTCTGCGCCTCCATCTCTTCAACGTTTTTGTCTTGTGCATCTCTCTCTGCCCTCCCTTCCACTACTGTTCCAATCCAGCACCACACCCAAGTTTCTGACCATATTTGTTTTTAATCTCACTGTGACTTTGGGTCTCCTCTCTCAGCACTTTCAGAACATGCATCTATCCCTGGCTGACTCCCCATTCCTTCTGTCTGCCACTATCCCATTTTCACAAAACCACCAGCCCCAGACAGGATCTAACATATAAAGGAGGATTAATAAGTATTTGTTTGTTGTCAGTTAATTTACAATGACCCATCCTGTAGAGGATCTTTCTCTTCTCTGCCCCATCATGCTCTGTTTCCTTAGTCCCTTTTTCCTCCTTGAAGTTCCTTCAAAACTCTTCATTTTCTCAGAAGTGTGGGCCAAGACTCATTAAATTTAAGCCAACTTATCTATCCCAGCATGTCAATCTCCCCAGGCATGAAGCAAAATACCAGCTGGGTAAGGCAAGAAGCCTAAGTGTAATCACTATCACTCTTCAAGAAAAAAGCACCTAAATGCTTAGTGAAACAAGACAGAAGTACACAAAAGGCTGACCAACACGCACAAGAGAAATGCAAACCAGGAAGGAGTCCATATGGTCTATGCTGCATTGTATTATTTCATAATGGCATTCCCAACATCCAGCCCAGTGACTGGCATATAATAGGGGATCAATATGTCTTTGCATTGGGTAAATAGATTAATTCACTTAACAGAAACAGACTTATTCATATGTGCCATAGAGTTTCTACATCAACAAGAACTTGGAGCACCTTGACATTAAACCCGATGTCTTCCTCCAAAATAACACTCACTCAACATTCCCATTCTCATCAATGCTATATGTCATATTTCATGGATCTAGGACAACATCATTCATAAGATACACCATTGTCTTACATTGTACATCCTAACTGGCACCTAGCCAAGAGCAATAATAGTAAGATACCATTGATTGTAAAACACCTCAATTTCAGGCATGTTAAATGTGAAAAAAATACACATCCTAGAGTCAATTTGAGATGCCTCCATAAATCTAGAATTGAGATATTTATTCTCAAATTTGATTGCCAAAAGTAATAACTCTGTAACTTTATATATAAAGTATCAAATTATTGTTAGCATCACATGAAATAAATTCTAATGAACATTAGGTTCACAGCAATAAGAAGGGAAATAAAACTAGCAATAGCTTACAGGTGACTTCCCGAACAGTGACGGGTTCACTAGTGAGGTCGTGCAGGACAGCGTGGACTGTGACTGCATACTCCGTGTTGGGAACAAGGTCAGTCAGCTGCATGTCGTTCACTGTTGGCCCCAAACGCATCTGCACATGGATATGCAGAGCAGAAATAAGATGTTCAAATCAAACTTTTCCATTCATCTTTGGGATAGTCAATTGAAGTCTGTTTGTACTAGATTATAATACAGCTTGTATTTTTCATTTATAAGATTACATTTCCTTTTCCACGATGATTTTTTCCTTTTTTTCTTTTTTTCTTTTCTTTTTTTTTTTTTTTTTTTTGAGACAAAGTCTCGCTCTGTCACCCAGGCTGGAGTGCAATGGCTCACTCTCAGCTCACTGCAACCTCCACCTCCCAGGTTCAAGCAATTCTCCTGTCTCAGCCTCCTGAGTAGCTGGGACTACAGGTGCATGCCACCACACCCGACTAATTTTTGTATTTTTAGTAGAGATGGTGTTTCACCATATTAGTCAGGCTAGTCTTGAATTCCTGACCACAGGTGATCCGCCCACCTCAGCCTCCCAAAGTGCTGAGATTATAGGCATCAGTCACTGTGGTCAGTCCACGCCAATGTTTTCTAAAATGTGTTGCAGACCACAAACCTACTTTTCTATTTTTCCATTGTGTATGTAAAGTTATAAATGAGTTCATAAGTAACTGCAGTATAATAGGCACTATAAATATGCTATAAAGTCTTGGGAAGACCCAATGTTAAAGAAATAAACATCTTTTACCTCTTTGGGTGTTGTTGGCTCTGTGTCCTTAACAGGTTTGTATGACAAGATGTAGCCAGTAGCTCCTCCCACAGGCTGCCACTGCACATGCATGGTGGTAGGGCCAACATCATAAATATTCAGGCTGACTACAGGCACTGGCACTTCCAAAACAGAAAAGCAGACCATCAGTCTAGTTCCTTTCATTCCACTTTCATTTTTAACCATTGTTTCCTACTCAATTATTGATATTTGTATATACTAGACAGTGGGTTACTGTGAGAAATCAACAAGAGTTAATATAATCCTTCCCATTGCCCCCAAAAAATCCAACTTGCATTGCTCATTGCACTTCATATTCAAGACTACATGTTACCACTATTTTACAGAGGAAAAATGTTAAAGTTCAGGCTTCAAATAACATTCCAGTGAGTCTATACAATGGATACCAACTTCCTGATACATTACTCTCCTTTTCTGGAACATCACTAAGTTGACTATTTCTATTCTTCAATCACAGAACTTTATATATATGTAATCAACACTATTTTTTATATTTCTTCAAAAAATAAGTTTAAAATAAGAACATTATACATTAATAACTGGAACATCAGAGATTTATAGGCTTCTTGAAGATATACCCATGAAGCAGAGAAAAAAGTTTACAGTCTCCCTATAACACCCATATTGCTTCCAATTATTTTTTATTCAAAGATTGAGTTCAAAGTTTTAAGAAATTATTATATTAATCCTGCCAGTTATAAAATCCATTATTTCTCACCTCCTATAGTCTAATATAAAGGGATATAAGAGAAGAGACAAGGATCTAAAACTTGAGCAGTACATAAAGTCATTTCTTGCTCTAGAGAGTGATGCTTACTCCTTCTTCTTAAAAATGGCTTTCCTTCTTCCCCCTAGAGCCCAACCAAGAAGCAAGAAGAAGGAAAGAATATTTATTCCACAGTGGGGCTCCACAATGGCAGGAGCAGCCAGTAGGAGTAGAAAACCACTGAGCATTTTCTGGGCACCTGCACAAAGATGGCACTCAGTAAATATTTATAGAATGAATGCTGAATAAAGAAATTATTTGGAGGGTAGGCAAAAATGGGCCATCATGCTTTATCTTGGGAAAGAAAGCAATGAGAAACAATTTTCTAATCTGACTTACAGGTTTTTTCTGTGCCCTTCAGAGGCTCACTATATTCATCTTCTACCACAGAATACACATTGACAACATACTCAGTTTCAGGCTTCAGATCTTTCAGCACTGTGCTGGTTTCCATTCGACTCACATAAAACTAGGGGGAAAAATTAAACAGATCAACAACGTATGTATAATCAGTTCCCTTTTTCCTACAATACTTACAAAGTAGTTAACTTCAGTGAGCTTAGAAACTATATTTTAATTAGGCCATTGTCTTTTGTATTTGGAAGCTATCAGATTACAATGAGATCTTGGACAATTCATATAATTTTTCTCCCAGCTGTTCTTTATTTGTAAAATTAATGGGTAAAAATAGATCATCTTTAATGTTCCTTGCCAACTCTCTGATTCTACTACAAATTCATAAATAAATCAAGCATCTTCTAATTAAATTTTAATGAAAAAAACATAGTGATATTCTACAGTTCTTAAAAACCGTAAGAATTTAAGCAAAGCTCTTTCCCTTTAATTAAAGCCAGATGGAAGTGCCTGTCTAGCAAAGTCAAGAATAGAAAGCACTATTCTTGACTCATTTCTGGCCCCTCTTCATCCCTCTTGCCCCTCACCTAACATTATTCTCAGAGCCCTAATGAGGAGGACCCAATCTCAACATAAGGAAGAAGCTGTAGGTGTTCCTACTCACTTCTTGACGTTTCCCTCCAGAAACTGGATAGTATTCCACCTTGTATCGATCCACACTGTCAGAAGGTGGTGTCCAGCTCACTCTAAAAGAACGATGGGTTCGCTCAGAAATAACTAAGTTAGAAGGTGCTTCCAAATCACCTACACATGGAAATAAAGGGTATACACTTTTCTCATTATTGTAGAAAGGTGACAATATTTGAAATTACATTGAAACAATATTACGCTCCATATTCTAAGCTTTCACATACTTCTTTTCACATACTAAGTAGCTACAATAAATCACTTGTAAGACCTCTATGCATAGGTAACTAAAAGGTTTTTTATCCTTAGAAGATTAAAACATGAGCTCATTGTCTTTCCTTAAAACCTGATCCTCCTCTTTCTTACAAACTTTACCAATTTACAGGTCACTGAGACTGAAGACCCGATATGGTCTGGCTGTGTCCCCACTTGAATCTCATCTTGAATTGTAGCTCCCATAAGTCCCAAGTGCTGTGGGAGGGACCCAGAGGGAGATAATTGGATCATGGGGGTGGTTTCCCCCACACTGCTCTAGTGGTAGTGAATGTCCCACGAGATCTAATGCTTTTATAAGGGGTTTTCTCTTCCCCTTGGCTCTCATTCTCTCTCTTGCCTGCCACCATGTAAGACCTCCCATGTTCTTCTTCCATGATTGTGAGGCCTCCCCGGCCACATGGAATTGGGAGTCAATCAAACCTCTTTCCTTTATAAATTACCCAGTCTTGGGTACGTCTTTATTAGCAGCATGAGAACAGACTAATACGAGATCTCTGAATCACCTTTTGATAGTTTCTCCTCTCTCTACCCTTGTACATATAATCAGTAAATAAGAATTTAGGTCCTGACAATTTAGCTTCTCCATTGTCCCTATCACTATTGGCACCACACAACTTCCCTACCCTCATTATCATTTTGTTTCTATATACTCATGTCTTCTCTCCTTAACTAAAGGTTATGCTCTGTGAGGACAGAATTGATTTTTCATTCATTCTATTCTCTAACAGGATCTAGTTGTATAACAAAGGAAACTGACAACTGTATCACTGGAGAGAATGCAAACAAACACGTGTTTTTCAATCTGGGAATATCCTACCGCCTGTGATTGTACTCCCTGTGGGTGGACATAGGTGAAATGACTAATACATAACAGTATCTTGAATAAATGCTGATGAAAATAGAAATATTAAGCTCAGTATGTCTAACAGGAAAACGGCCCAAATAAAAATTAAAAGAGAAAAGGATTAATGATTTGCTATGCTCCATAAGCATAGCAAATCATTCTCATATAAACTCTTTCTACTTTTTGTGCAAGCCAAAACTGGGGAAAGCCTTTCCATTCTTAGTATCTTCACTTTTATTGTACTTGGGTAAGAGTCAAACCTACAAAATTATCAAGCAATTTTACTGTCTGGAAAACTAGAATGAATGCAACTATTACATAGTTCATTTAAAAAAAAAAAAAAAAGCAAAACAGATAAAGGATGTTTTCATCCCCACTCAAAGTTCTGTCCAATGGAATAAAACTACAACTCTCTCAGCTAATCAAGAACCAGAAGCCTACAAATTCTGGCTGCCAGGCTGGTCTATTTCTCCAGGGAAAAGGTCAATCTGTTGTTTAAAATTCAAAAAAGAAAATCTGCAAAAGTTAGGAGAAAGAAACCCAAGAGGGAACATTCAAATAAACATACCCCTAGCATCCAGAGCAAGTGAACCATTTCTATCACTTTATTTCTTAAACTTATTCCAACTTTTCCAAAACCAAATTAAATTAATGAAGGACAATTTTACCATAATCTACATGTACTTAAATAAAATTTTTCTTACATAATAAGAGCCATAATTTTTATCAGTAATTTTTTTAAAAAACCTTTAAATTTGGTGATTACCATGTTTTGTCCCATGATTTACACAGAGAGTAATCATTATGCATCATCCTTTGTTAGTATAAATCCAGCTCTATAATTTTATCTCAATATCCTAATTCCTTAACTAGATCTACTTTTTTTAAATACCCCTAAAAACGTCTTTAAACATTTGACCCAGACTAAGTAATTTTTCTCCAGATCTCAGTTTCTTCACTGGTAAAAAGAAGTTATATAATTTCTAAATGTCTAAACTGTAAAATTGTAGCTTCTCTTTATATTTAGGGATTATAAGTGTAAAGTTTCAAATCTGATCATCTATAATTGAGGCAAAGCAAATCAGATGTAAAGACTGCTCTTTTATTCCTGCTCACATTAGGAAATCAAAAAAAGGTACCAAAACTGAGGAAACCAAGAGTCTGGGAACAACCATCTAATAGCAATGTAGCAACTAAATGGAGTGAAGATGTTTTACAAGACAACAGGTATATCCCAGAAAAGAAAGCATCTCTCTTTCCGTCTCTTCCTACCCCCTTCCAATTTATATATATATATGTTGTGTGGGGGAGGGTGCAAGTATGCGGGATATAAACTAAATGTATCCTCAAATAAATTAGAAGTCATTGAGGTGCCATCACGAGAAACAAATCAGGAAAAAAAATCTGGGACTAAAGCAGTGATTCTCAACTGGGAACAGTTTTTTTCTGCAGCAGACATTTGGCAACAACTGAAGATCTTTATAGTTGCCACAATTTAGGGGATGCTACTGACATCCAACCTGCAGAGGCCCTTCACACTGCTAAACATTTTATAACGCACAAAATAGTTCCCTCCCCTTCACCCAAAAGAATAATTATTTGGCCCAAAATATCAGCAGTGCTGAGGGCAAGAAACTCTGGGCTAAACTTACCTGGACCTTTGACACTGTTACACAAATTAATGGTGAGATCATCCACTATCCTGGAGAGTGACTCAAAATCTGCCACATTGTATGCATGGGTATCATCAGGATCAGTTGCAATCATCTTTAATTCGACTTCATCAGCATTTTTAATACCTTCAAAAACGGATATATACAAATTAAAAGCACTTCTCAGAAAAAAATTAATGGAACAAAGCAAATGATTTATGGCTTTCTTAATTCATGGCTTCTTTCGGTCAACTATGAAGGTTTAATAATTAGCTAACTAAAATATACATATTATTTTTCTCAGTAATAAAACAGAAACAAAGGATAATACAAACTGAAAGCTCTTTTACATTGGCTTCTTCCAGATGCATGTAGCACCAATTTCCCACCAAAAAGTGTCTCTTCAGTGTCTTTTCTGGAATGTAAAATAATGGATATCAAAAGTAAACATGGTTCTGTGGAAAACCAAGGAGGAGTTTTTCTGAATCCTATTAATAGCACATTTTTCTTCCTGATCTATTAATTTTCTTTTAAGAAACCATGTAGTTTTGGCCCAGTATAAGGAGAAAAAAAAATGAATTAACTTCCTGGAACATTATTTTGATAAATTATGTGATAGAAAAAAATGTTTTTCTTTTCATGCTTCAGATACAACTTTTAACTGCGAAAAATACCCTCAGCACGTTTGTAACCCCAGGGGCATCACTGTCCTTTTCAGTGCATACCAATAGCAAACAGCTCCACTCCCTCATCCTTGAGTTTCTTTGAAGGTGCCTCAACATCATCTTGTGATTTTCCATCAGTAATGAGCACACCAATTTTTCGAGCTCGAGGTCTCATGCCAGCTTGGGTCCTGAAGCTCTGTTGGCGAATGAAATTCAAAGCCATGCCTAGTGGGATTTTTAAAAGAGAATCAGTCACATCACCATTCAGCCACAAACCTTGACCAGAAGCATAAGCTGAAAGAGACTCACCTGTGAGAGTATTGCCTCCTTTGTATGGTAAGTTTGCCACAGCTTGCAACAAGCTCTTCTTGTCTCTGTGAGCATTTAACTGCCACTCTGTTCTGGGATCCCCACTATACTGAGCAAGAGCTAAAATGACACCACTGGCATTAGTGCATGTGAAAGAGCAAGATAAAAATGTCTAAATGGCTCCAATGTTGTCAGAACCTACCAATTTGTACTCTTTTGGGGCCAATGTCAAAGACTTCCACAATACGAGAAATAAAGCTCCTCACGGTTCTAAAATTTGCCCGGCCGATGCTCCATGATCCATCCACCAGCAACACAATGTCTGCCTCAGCTCTGGTGAGACACTCCATCCCTGACATGGCAATCATGAGACAAGACAGTAAGAAGCAAATTGTTGGCAAGGGTACTTCCTTGTCACACCTCTGCCACTCCCTGGATCCTCAGTGTTGCCTGTCTCAGTACTATAGTCTAGCTCAGTGATGTGGAGTACGAGACTCTGAAAATATGTCCATCTGATTTATTAACCTCAATTAACTGTCTTAAGAATCAGCAGTTCCTCCAAAGATTATTTCAATGGCCAATCTTTCCTTTATCTTTGACTTGATTTCCTACCCTCTTTCATAGAACCTGGAGACTTGAATTAAGCCATTGTTGAAAATTTGATGGGCTCACAAACTCAAAGGCTGAAATAAATAAATGGGAATGTATAGCTGTCTAACTACGAAGTACTAATAACTTTAGTAAAATTGTAATGTGGTCAAACCATTAGATGTTGCATTCTTCTGCAATATTTAATGGTCATAGCAGACAAGAATGAGATGGACTGATAAAACATGTAAACTAAAAAAAGGTTTTTGTGAGCCAAAAATTAGCTTTTCAAATAGCTAAGCTGTTAGGTAACTACCTCATGTATATGAAGGGTTAGACACATAACTTTTAAAATTGTACCTTTTTGAAGTAAAGATATATTTTTTAAACCCTGATATATTATTATTTAGCTATTAATCATTTGAGTTTATGGTCTACTATGAATAAAAATCAGGTAAATATAGAAGGTGAAGTTTGCACATTTAAAGAATCAAGGAAGAAGGAAGATAATTTAGAAAAGTATGCAAACAAATATACAAATTGAGAGCTATAGAGACAAGCACAAACATTGATACAAAGGAAAAGCTTTGGAAAGAGAAAATAATCCCAACATCCTCAGTGTACAAGCTACAAAATAAAAATATAAGTCAGTTAATATCATCATAAGAGAAACAATAGAACATTAATGCAAAACAGCAAGAATTGACACTTGATTTTGTCCACATCCATTTTTTTACTGTTCTCCTTTCCAAAAGCTTGTATTACCACTATAAATTTTCCAATTTATTACAAGGGTAGCATTTGGTCTTTATATTACAAAAGAAATCATTGGAAAAAAAATTAAATAATGCTCATCACACTATAAAATACAAATGTGTCACTCACATATTATATACTGTATCAGGATTAAGGATTCCCAAATACTATCCCAAGGAAATAGGCCCTTACAAGCCTGCTCCTGCTCTACCCAGATCTACTCTTTTTTAGCAATAGTGAGAAATATCAGAAGTAAACTCTGTCCACCACCTCCCTCTCTAAGAATGTTAAAAACTAGCTTTATGTTCATAAAGGCTGTAATTGCGGCAGGGACAGAAAATCTAAGGGGCTTATGTTACCATTTTGTTTCCCAAGTCATAGTTGCCCACCTATTTATGTAACCTAACACTGCTTACCCAGCCCAAATAAATCATTTCTGCAATGACTTTTACAAAAGAAAACTGCATCTTAGTCACTAAAAATAGAAAAAGGTACAATATCTACATTTAGTAAAAACTCATCTTTAAATAATAGAGCTTAATTATGTAATAATGCATAATTTTAAAATTGACATTTAAATGCATTAATAAATTTAATGTGTAATTTTAACTTATGCATTATTACATAATTTAAAATTACTACATTAATAATTACATTACTCACATAATTAATACATTAATAATTACACATAGTACCCTTTTAAAAATAGATTTATGTAATAATTTAAGTATGAAATAATGCAATGCTGATAAAAGAAGTATAAAAAAATACTGTCAAAAAGCATGCTTGACTGGATGTTTGAAGAAGTTTTTTTACTAAGTATGTAAATTATTGAAATAAATTTTAGTGTAAAATTTGTATCACTGTTTTCCATTGTATGATACCCTAACAGTTCACATTTGAAATAGTTTCCTAATGTTGTTTTCCTGGAGGAATGTAACTCAATTTCTTACCAGAAGATAAAATTGGCATTACAGTTGTATCGGAAAGGGTTGTCATTTCTTGTCCAACAAGTGGTGAGCTTTCTCCTCCATCAAACATTCCAAAAACATTTACTTTATAGGTGGTACCAGCCCTAAAATGTTAAAGTATACAGCCTGTGAGAACTATAGGCTCAAGTGGTAGCACTTTTGTTTTGCTTTGTTAAAGACATTGATCTTGATTTCTAAGCTTTCACTATGAAGAGTTTATAGGGTACAACATTATAAAAGAAGAAAAATAATTTCCACCACTTTCTCACTTAGCTTACCCTGTGAGGGAGGTGTCAAGAGAAACTAGACAGCAAGCATTCCAGAGAACACTAGGAATTCACAGCACTGGTTTCTGTCTTGCCTTTCTAGCAGATGCAGAGTCTCTACCCTGCCTTTCAGCATGTCAGGGAAGGGTCAGACTCTTCATTCTTACTGTTTCTAAGCAATGGGCTTTAAGAAAATAATTGAAGTGCTGTACCTTGCAAGGTAACATAAGACAATGCCTCACACAATGCCTGACACATAGGAAGCTCAATAAATTTTATCCTCCCTACTCCGGTAAAAGTAAGTCACGAGCATTTTATATAGATTTCTATGGTCTTGAATGAATGATTGAAAAAACAAACTTTCCAAAAGACTACACAGAGTAGTTCATCCTTTTTACTGTAATGAATGTAGGGTGCTGTTCAAACTGAAACTTCCATGTTTCTCACTGCACAGCCTGGAGCTGGACCTTTCACGAGCCCAGCCTTGCCCTCTCCTGCCAGCTGGGACCCACGAGGTCCTGCCTTCTTTCTCCTGTATGGCATACTGGAGGGGGATTCACACTCAAAATTTCAGCATGAGTCCCTCAAACCTTGCCAAAAGGTACAGCAACCCCCACACTTCCACATGGCTACAATTTCGGTGACATTGTGTAATAAGAATGTTAATTTTTTAAAAGCAGGGTGTTATTGAAAACCCCAATTCTGGTCACTTAATAACAAATAAAAATTATTAAACATTACAAAAAATCCTGCTCAGGCCTAAATTCTGTTGCTGACCCCTGAATCCTAACTTCAACTCCAACAGCACCAAGCATAAGAAAACAGCTTTAGCTGATTTTAAATACTTTGCTGGCAAACAGACATATAAGTGATATTTGTGTAAAGCCTACTAATTTACATAAGCTATTCAACCTTTTAAACAAATTAATTTCATCCTTTGAGACAAACCTAGTTAATTCCTACCTAAGTTCCTCCAAAACAACCGTGTTGTCATAGGGTCCAACCACTAACTCCCCCAGTCTTCTGTCATCCCCCGTAGGGTGGAATGTGACTTTATAACCCTTCACTTCCCCAGGGGCAGGCTCCCAAGTCACTCGGAAGCTTGACATGGTTGGGTCAGATGTTTTGAGGTTTCTGGGAGACTTAAATCGAGAAGCTGTAAAGACAAAAATATTTTTAAAATATTATCTATAAGACTAGGCTTTGGGGTTTCTTTTTTATTAGCCCCACAAAAATGCATATCCATAAAAAGGGTTTAAGTCTGGTACCACAAAAGAGCATGTTCCATAGAAGTCCTGATAACAGAATGCTAGCTAAGTAGAAGTATAAATAATTCTCACAATTCAGATTAGATTTGCATGAGAACATTAACATGTAGAATCATTTAACCAGGAACTAGATTGGTAAAAATAACATGTTAATTAGACATTGTCTAATCATTATAATTTAACTTATTACAGAATCAGCTTTAAACATTTACAAATGAAGTGGACACACAAAGTCATCTTTTAAAACATTACCTTCTCTCCCCCTCAAAACATAACTGTTATTTCGTACCTGTTGTTCCTGATCCTTGCCTAAGCTTTCCTTCTCCTGTCTTGTAAATCGGAAGAACTGTGATGTCATATGTGGTCTGTGGCTGAAGTCGCTTTAACACTGTTGAAGTGACTGTGGGGGGCACCTTAGCAACCATTTGCCTCCCTCCCCCATGGGGGCGATAGACAACACGGTAGTTGACGACTTTCCCTGGAGCTGGTTTCCACGTAACTCTCATTGTGCTTTCTGTTTCTTCATCTACTTTCAGAGTTTTGGAATCTTGAGATACTGTGAGATAAAAGGAAGATTCAACTGTATACCATGTTGAAAAAAAATGTATGTTCACCTCTTCATTTATGTGAAAAGAAACTCTCTGTGGCTTCTTAAATATGTACACTGTTCCATTGCTTAGCACTGTAACCTCTCATAAATTCATGATGGCGTGTGAGCCTAATCTCATTGAGAGCTCAGCAAGATGTTTTCGTTTTATCTAGCTAATACTAAAAAATGGAAGTTCATATTGCAGAGATTTCCTATTTGCCTTCTAGAGAAGGCAAAGAAAACATCCGTTTCCGGAGATAAGGTTTTAGAATTTTTATTATATTTCCATCTGTAAAGAATTTATCCAGTAATAATGCTGTGGAGAATACTAAAAATTATGAATTTAGAGTTGAACATTTTACTTGGACTTTTTCAGAAAAAGTTGCAATCCGTAAATGACTAGCCAGAGTGACTGTAGTTAACACCATTCTTACGATTGCCATGCACATCTCAGACTATGAGCACAAAAGAATAGGAAACTAACACTTCAAAATATCTCAGGGGCTCTAAAGATAAACTGGTATGTGCTGAGTATTTCAGAAAGCACTATCTGTAAATAGTGTTTGCTTAATATGTAATCAATAATATGTAATTATTTATTAAATTCTCTTTTACTAATATTTCACAATTATTAACTCTATATGAAATAAGTAACCAGCATCCACAAATAACCTACAACATCCTATTTTTATACATAATTAGAGTTCATAAGCAGGACCATTTTATTCAGTTCAATAATCAATGTTCAAAAGAACATAAACATGTTCTACAGAAAAAGATTAAGCTAAACAAAATTCAAAATCAGCAAAGAATCTTCCTGATTGTAAGAGAAAATTTCATGTTCAAGTGGTCAAGAGCCATTTGAAACAACTAAGAAGCCTGAAAAAAAAAACTAAGAAAAATAAAACACAATAATTTTCAGACACAATATCAGTTGGCACAGGACACTCATCCCTAAGAGAGATAAGGAACAAAGGGGAATAGGTTCTGTGATTGCCCAGCTATTGCCTGGAATTTCCAGTCCCCAGTAAAAGAAAGGGGAATCCAGATGGAGCCTGGTGGCCTCCCTTAATTGTCAAGATGTTGTTGCAAGTCTGGAGAGCCCAAAGCAACCAGAACTTGAAGAATAGAGTACTGTGAATGAGAGAGTGCCACAGAGAAAATACTTGAGTCTTCAACCAAGGATAATCAGTGCGTATGCGTGAGAAAACCACCCACAACTAGGGAAAAAACCACCCCAAAGGAGCCCAGGGAACAATTTCTTGAGCTCACACAGGGTTAGAATGTTCCCCCTACCCAGAAGAGAAAACCTCACAACTCTAGGGACATCATGTAGGGTATTTAGTAGGTGATTGTCTCAAAATAATGGGGCAAAATTAGTCCTAAACTGAAACAGTTTAAAAGCGAGTGTCAGATCAAACTATTTCCAAGTAACTTAACTGTATTCCAGAATAAAACTTAAGAATATTTATCTGAACATAAAAATATCTAGCACCCAAGCAAATAAAATTCACAAAATCTGACATGTAATAAAATTTACAAAGCACGCCAAAAAGGAAAAACTTATGACCTGTATCATGGATTGAAGGTCTCCCACCACTAAAATCACATGTTGAAGTCTTAACCTTCAATGTGATGACATTTAAACATGAGGCCTTTGTAGAGGCAATTTGGGTTCAATAAGGCCATCAGAGTGAGGCCTTAATCTGATCGGCTTGGTGACTTTATAAGAAAAAAACGAGACACCAGAGTTCTGTCTCTCTCTTTTCACATTCACAGCCTGAGAAAAGGCCATATGAGGACATAAAGAAAGGTAACCACCCACCAGGAAGAGAGCCCTCACCAGAAATCAAACCCTGCCAGACATTAATCTTGAACTTTCCAGCCTCCAAAACTGTGAGAAAATAACTTTCTGTTGTTAAAGTCACTCAGTCAATAGTAATACCTTTTGTTATTGCAGTCCAAACTAAGACAACACATAATAAGAAGAAAAATCAATCAATAGAAACAGAACTAGAAATGACATATATTACAGAATTTAAAAGGACATTAAAACAGTTATTATAACTATATTTCATATGTAATAATGGTAGAAGAAAGATTAAGCATTTTAACTAGAGATATAGAACATATAAAAAAGACTCAAACATTTCTAGAGATAAAAATAATATCTAAAATGAAAAACACACAAGATAATATTTACAGCAGATTAGAAAATATAAAAAATGATTAGTGAACTTGATGGCATGATAATAGAACATGAAACACAAGGAAAGAAAAACAATTTTTTAATGAACAGAGCATCAGTGAGCTGTGTGATAACTTCAAGCAGACTAATATATGTGTAGTTAATTAGAGTTCCTGAATAAAGTGGGGGTGTAATAAATAAAATATTTGAAAAACTAATGGGATGGACTTGTTCAAATTTTATAAAAACCATAAACTCACACATTCTAGAAGTTTAGTGAACCCCAAACACAGGAAACATAAAGAAACTATACCAAGACACATCATAATTAAATTGCTTAAAAATCAGTAATAAAAATAAAATCTTTAAAGAAGCCATATTTTTTTAAAAACACATAATATGTATAGAGGACAAATATAAAAATGATAAAGTAGGTAAATTCAATATATGGTTATGATGCTTATGAATTATGCTTCTGAGAGATGAAAAAATATAATTTCAATCAAAATTATATTGGCTGCAATTTTTATTTTTAGATTTAAAGAAACTAAGAGAACTCTCAGCAAAGTCCATTATTTTCTGGAAATACTAAAATTTATTTAGATTAATCATCAATTCGCTGTTATTATTCTCTAGGTAAGTGAACTATTAAAAGGAAAAAAGTTTACATATATATAAAATATATATTATTATATAAAAATATATATGATATAAACATATATATATGTATTTCCAAACAAAAAAATCTAAAGACTTTACCTGGAGTTCTGAAAATAGTACAAGAAAGAATAGTATATAGAAAAATAATCTACTTGGATTATTATCATTACCAGTTGTCACAAATATCAAATAAGTTGATGGGTGTCTTACAGTTTTCTAGAAGTGGTTGTGCTACAGTACGTTTTCTCATCTTTTGTTTCATCTCTTAAATTTTTACTCAGTGGAACAAGACATTGTCTCTCTTACAAAATTTTTAAACCAATTTCACACAACTCAGAATTTAGAAAAATAAAAAGTTAAATTTTATGAATGTTGATTTAAAAAGAAACTTAAGTTTCAAAAAAATGGGATACCAAGCTTTAACATGTTTCAAAATTTAAACATATTAATAACAGCCAAAAGTGACATGTCATACCTTGATATGCCTTAATGACCTCACTTATATTCCTGCCTTTTAATTAACTCTTTAAAATGAAGAAATGGAAATGAAATACAGTACAGCATATCTCATCCTAGTTTTAATGGTAAACTGGATCTTAGGGAGAAAAAAAAAACAAACCCTTGTTGGTTTCCCATAACCAAAGAGTAAGAATTTTTACATCATTGATTGGATACCACACGCCATTAAATGCTGTTACACCCTCTCACATTGTAAGTTCTTTTCATGTGTTAGTAACTATCATGAGAAACTTTCAAACACCCACTGTACCACTGCTAAGCCAGCTGCCATAAATTAGAAGGGCACTAGAAAGTGTCCCTTCTGCTGGCTTTCTAACCCCAATTCATGATTTTCATTTATCAATGTATTCATTTCATTGTATCAACAGTCTGCATACCATGTCCCTGAGTTTCAGGTGAAAGCAATCTTAAAGACGTTCCCAGAATGCCCTCTTGGAAGCATATGCGAAACTCTAGGAGCGTAGGCTAGGAGTTCTGCTGAGTTATCCACACCTTAGGATTCCTCTACCACCTAAACAGCAGATCTCACTCAGATTTCTGAAAATACTTTCTAACAACAACAAAATGATGGTAGAACAAAGAAAAATCCATGACTTCTTTCTTATTTACTTAGACATTTCAGCAGTTTTCACATACAGTTGCCCTTTGGTATCCATGGGAGATTGGTTTCAGGATCTCCCATAGAAACTAAAATCCTCACATGCTCAAGTTCTTGATGTAAAATGGTGTAGTATTCACACAAACCTATGCACATCCTCCCTAATACAGTAAGTCCTCACCTAATGTTGTTAAATAATTTCTTGGAAACTGCAACTTTGTACAACTGACATAAGGAAACCAATTTTCCAGAGGTTAATTGATATAAACAAGAGTTAAGTTCCTACATCATATTTCTGATCACAAAAACATCACCAAACTTCTCAATAAAAAACACTGACATATGTGTGAGCTCTATATACATTTCAGAAAGACAAATGAAAACCAGTAACTAATTATTCACCCATTTATTCCAGTTAAGGATCACAGTGGACACAGCCTGTCCAAGTAGCTCAGGGCAAAAGGGAGAACCCCATCCTAGGCACCCACACACACACACACTCACACTCACTCAGACTGGGACCATGTGGACGTGCCAGTTCACCTAACGTGATGTGGGAGGTAACTAGAGTACCTGGAGGAAACCCACATAGACATGGAGAAGATGTGCAAACTCCACACAGGGAATCAATTCTTTTTTCTCATCAATGTTATGATATTATTCAAGAACCTGCTGAACTTCAAATCATCTCTAGATTACTTATAATACAATGTAAATGTCATATAATGATTATACTATATATTTATTAGCATTATTATTTATTGTTGTATTGTTATTTCTTAATGCTTTTAAAAAAAAATACTGTCTATCAGCAGTTGGTTACTTTTGCACATGTGGAACCTGAGAATATGGAAGGACAACCGTGACCTAAAAATGAACACTTCATTCCTGCCAAGCCTGCTCCTTCTTCAAAAGAGGCTTCCCACAGCCAGTATCATACTGAATGGGCAAAAACTGGAAGCATTCCCTTTGAAAACCGGCACAAGGCAAGGATGTCCTCTCTCACCACTCCTATTCAACATAGTATTGGAAGTTTTGGCCAGGGTAATAAGGCAAGAGAAAGAAATAAAGGGTATTCAATTAGGAAAAGAGGAAGTCAAATTGTCTCTGTTTGCAGATGACAAGATTATATATTTAGAAAAACCCATCGTCTCAGCCCAAAATCTCCTTAAGCCGATAAGCAACTTCAGCAGTCTCAGGATACAAAATCAATATGCAAAAATCACAAGCATTCCTCTATACCAATAACAGACAAACAGCCAAATCATGAGTGAACTCCCATTCATAATTGCTACAAAGAGAATAAAATACCTAGGAATACAACTTACAAGGGATGTGAAGGACCTCTTCAAGGAGAACTACAAACCACTGCTCAAGGAAATAAGAGAGAACACAAACAAATGGAAAAACATTCCATGCTTGTAGATAGGAAGAATAAATATTGTCAAAATGGCCATACTGCCCAAAGTAATTTATAGATTTAATTCTATCCTGATCAAGTTATCATTGACTTTCTTCACAGAATTAGAAAAAAACTTTAGATTTCATATGGAACCAAAAAAGAGCCCATATAGTCAAGACAATCCTACTCACAAAGAACAAAGCTGGAGGCATCACACTACCTGAATTCAAACTATACTACAAGGCTACAGTAACAAAACCAGCAAAGTACTGGTACCACAAACTTAAAGTATAATAAATAGACCAATGGAACAGAACAGAGGCCTCAGAAATAACACCACACATCTATAACCATCTGATCTTTGACAAAATTGACAAAAACAAGAAATGGGGAAAGGATTCCCTATTTAATAAATGGTGTTGGGAAAACTGGCCACCCATATGCAGAAAGCTGAAACTGGATCCCTTCCTTACACCTTATACAAAAATTAATTCAAGATAGATTAAACACTTAAATGTAAGACCTAAAACCATAAAAACCCTAGAAGAAAACCTATGCAATATCATTTAGGACATAGGAATGGGCAAAGGCTTCATGACTAAAACACCAAAAGCAATGGCAACAAAAGCCAAAATTGACAAATGGGATCTAATTAAACTAAAGAGCTTCTGCACAGCAAAAGAAACTATCATCAGAGTGAACAGGCAACCTACAGAATGGGAAAAAATTTTTGCAATCTATCCATCTGACAAAGGGCTAATATCCAGAATCTACAAAGAACTTAAACAGATTTACAAGAAAAAACCAAACAACCCCATCAAAAATTTGGCGAAGGATATGAATGGACATTTCTTAAAAGAAGACATTTATGCAGCCGACAAACATATGAAAAAAAGCTCTTCATCACTGGTCATTAGAGAAATACAAATCAAAACCACAATGAGATACTAGGTCACACCAGTTAGAATGGCAATCATTATAAAGCCAGGAAACAACAGATGCTGGAGAGGATGTGAAGAAGTAGGAATGCTTTTACACTGTTGGTAGGAGTGTAAATTAGTTCAACCAATGTGGAAGACAGTGTGGTAATTCCTCAAGGATCTAGAACTAGAAATACCATTTGACCCAGCAATTCCATTACTGGATATATACCCAAAGGATTATAAATCATTCTACTATAAATCCACATGCACACGTATGTTTATTGTGGCACTGTTCACAATAGCAAAGACTTGGAACCAACCCAAATGCCCATCAATGATAGACTGCATAAAGAAAATGTGGCACATATACATCATGGAATACTACATAGCCATAAAAAAGGATGTCCTTTGCAAGGACACGGATCATGCTGAAAATCATCATTCTCAGCAAACTAACGCAAGAACAGAAAACCAAACACCGCATGTTCTCACTCATAAGTGGGACTTGAACAATGAGAACACACGGACACAGGGAAGGGAACATTACACACCAGGGCCTGTAGTAGGGTAGGGAGTTAGGGGAGGGATAGCATTAGGAGAAATATCTAATGTAGGTGATGAGTTGATGGGTGCAACAAACCACCATGGCACATGTATACCTATGTAACAAACCTGCACGATCTGCGCGTGTACCCCAGAACTTAAAGTATAATTTTAAAAAAGTTAACTTGGGAAAAAAATAGGCCTTTCTGTTCATCAATGTTTAAATCAACCAATTAGCCAAGAAATATTGAAAATTTCTTAGATGCTCATCTTCTGAGATACAGAGGTTTATTTAGTTTCTGCCACCATATTTGCTTTCAGCAACAACACATCTCTTGTAGATATTTTAAATTCCAAACAATTATTTGAAGCCTCCAACTTTTTGGAAAAAGACAAAATAGAGGATAATTTTTGGAGAAAAAAAATCCCTCTAAATACATATACTTTTATAATTTCTCAGCCACATGAACTGTATCTTTACTCCTACAAATAAATTCAGCTCTATGTGTCATATGTGACCTAAGTTTACAATACAGCTTCTCTTTACAAGTGAATTTCCTCAAAAATAGAGAATGAATTTCTACCACGTTCTTATACTACATCAGCCAATATATTCCAGACACAAGATTTAATTTACTACCAATCATGTGAATATCTGAGAACTATGTCTTCTCACATATTTAAATTTCCTGTAAAGAAGTTGATTTTTTAAAATCTGGTGAATTAAGATACAAATTTAAACTTGAACATCCAACTGAGCTTACAAATGATAAAAAGAAAATGAACTTAGACACAAAGATTTTAGTTTAAGGACAACTTAAAATCAGGATATAGGACTTAACTGAAATTGCTCATGGCACTTCTCCCTCTCTCTTCCTTTGCCAGAAAAATCACCAAATTCCTCTACTTCTTTTTTATAGAAGGAAATGCATGAATGCCCATTCTTTCTCCTTTTCCTAAAACCTTCCCAAAACAAAAGGATTAAAGTTTTCTCCTACAAATGCTTAGAAATGCCCATGCTTAACAAATGACATTTGGTTTGGTTTGGTTTGGTTTCAATTGTTTGTTTTTAATAGATTTTTTATTGTTTTAGAGCAGTTTTGGTACAGAGATTGAGCAGAAGGTACAGAGATTTCCCATGTCCCCTTTCCCACCTCCACACATGCACAGCCTCCCCCATTATCAACATCCTTCACCAAAGTGGTACATTTGTTACAACTGTTGAACCTACACTGACACATCATTATCACTCAAACAAATAAGCTTTCAGGAAAGTGAATTAAGATATCCTGACACAAGCCGGGCGTGGTGGCTCACGCCTGTAATCCCAGCACTTTGGGAGGCTGAGGCGGGCGGATCACAAGGTCAGGAGATGGAGACCACGGTGAAACCCCGTCTCTACTAAAAATACAAAAAATTAGCCGGGCGCTTCTTTTCTCTTTCCTCCCTTCCCCCCTCCTCACTCTCCTCCTCCTCCTTTCCTCATTCTCTTCTTCTTCTTCTTCTTGTCTTCTGTGCCTTCTTTCTTTTCTCTTCTTTCTTTCTTTTTCTTCTTTCTTCTTTCTTTTCTTCTTATCCTATTTTAATATTTGGTAAGGTCAAATAAATTCCATCAATTTTCTGGTGGATCGATTACCTCAATCTCACTAATATATAGCATATATAATATTTTCTGTTAAATAATTATAATGACCTATCATAACACCTGGCTGGTGAGGACTGTGCGCTATTCTTTTTTTTTTTGAGATGGAGTCGTGGCTCCGTTGCCCAGCGGAGTGCAGTGGCGAGATTCGGCCTGACTGCAACTCCGCTCCCGGGTTCAACGCATTTCCTCTCTGCCCTCACGCTCCAGAGTAGCTGGGAGATTACTAGGCGCCCGCCACC